CAAAGACATGTTCAAGAATTCTTTCTTGGCCATTGGCTCTGGAACCCCCCCACCATCACCCCAAAACTTCATCATACCTAATGTGGCACTCAAACTCATGACCCTGGTATCAAGGGCGCATGCTCCACTGACTGGGCCCACTGGGCACCCCCGAATTTGGTTTTTTCACCCAAGAACTGCACACGGTTGAAAACCACTGAAGCTGATGCTGAGTTCAAGGGTGTGCATGATGCCATTTTCTCCGGTCGTGTAGATGTTTGGAAACGCCCACAATCAAAGGTTAAAGGAAACATTTCTACTGAGCCCTGGCTCTGCGCAGAGCCTGGCGGGCACTATGCTTACGCAGCCCCCAGAACAGGTCTGCAGAGCAGCACCGGGATGTGGGTGGAGAGGAGCCTGTGCTTGGGGCTGATTTCTGTGCTGACTCCTTCACCACCAGCGCCCAGCCTCTATTAGCCGCACTCACCGCCGGGGGCTGGGGGGAGGGGGGCAGGACACCAAACCACGGACGGCGGAGCCTGGCCACCAGGGCTGGCCCGTCCCCAGCACCGCCAGGCTGGCTCCAACCCTCCTCAACCTTCGGATTCAATACAGATTCCGATTTCAATATTCTCAGTCAACGCCCCCATTTACTGTCAAAGGCCCAGTTGATTCACATCTTGGGCTCATAAATGCTGGACAAGAGCAACCTGCAGACATGTGGCTGAAGCTTCTTCAAAACTACGCACAGACCAACATGCCAACTTAGGGATGAGGCACTTCCCTGCCTGAGCGCCCACGAACACATCTGTGAATGACCACGGAGAATAAAGTGACTTCCGTTTCTCTGAAACCAATCGATTCCCATGGGTACTGTGGTCAGGTTAGCAGAATAAAATTCTGACCTCCTAAACAAGCGGAAACGTCCCCAAATAAGAAAAATCATACGAAAACATCCTGAAGATACAGGGTCATAAAGTTACATAAACATTGATCACCGAAGGAGGAAGGAGCTTAGATGGGCAAAATCCATTCCCCATGATCCTCAGGTAAGAATCAGGAAGGGTTGGTTTCGCACTGTTTTCGACAGCCACACCCGAGCCCCAGCTGCCAACACACACCATTAAACCCGGTTTGTCTGCTTGAATTGTAAAGCTCCTCACATCTAAGTGCACGGCCCAGAGCTGAGAACTCAAATATCCCTTCCACCTAAAGTAACACTGGAAATTAAGTTTCAGGCAACCTTTTGAACTTAAAAAGAAAAATTTAACATTTACTCATTTTTTTGAGAGACAGCGCGTGACTGGGGGAGGGGCAGAGAGAGAGGTACACACAGAATCTGAAGCGGCTCCAGGCTCTGAGCTGTCAGCACTGACTGACCCTGATATGGGGCTCGAACTCACAAACCATGAGATGAAATGAAGAGTTGGACGGTTAACCAACTGAGCCACCCAGGTGCCCCTAAGATTTTTATTTTAGAAGATAACAGAAATACCGTCCTGCGCTGTGGCCGTGAAACAGCCCCGAGTACCCTGGATGCCCCCAGTGCGTGGATCCTGGTGGGGGGAGCCTCACAGACTCAGTGGTTCGCAAGCGTGCAGCCCCTGGACTGGCCACAGCACCCCCAGACCCCCTGGAGCAGAATCCCTGTAATCCAGTTCCAGTGAGCACCCCCCGCCCCAACCAAATTGCCCCAGTGATGCCCTCTCGAGTTCCGCTCACAGAGAGGTGGGTAAGGAAGGCTCTGGGTCCAGACTGTGTTCTGAAGCCCAGAGCTGCCACCTGCTGGCAAGCTGGGGGCAAGCAGGTGGCCTGATTCTCTACTTCCTCACCAGGAAAACCCAGCTGGGATGACCCCTCCCTGGAGGTGCAGGTGGGGATGGACTCAGGGCTGCGAACTCAGCTCCCCCTCCCAGGCCCTTACCGGCTGGCCCTCCGTCCAAGTGGGGCAGACGGGGACCCCCATGCTCCTCTGCTCTCGCTCTCGGGGGCTCGGCGCCGCGGGGGGACAAGCAGCAGGCAGTCCAGACGCACCTGACGGGTGGGACAAATGAGCGGCGATGCGCCAAGCACCATCGTTGCATTCACAGCCATCGGGTGCCCACCCTCCATCCACACCTGAATGTCTTGCATAAATTAATGAAGCCGCAGTCCGCTGGCTTCACACTGGTGGAAAGTTGCTTCTGTGAGTTTTCGGCCGTTTTCCAAGTTTGGGGCCTGTTTCTGAACCATGAGTTGAAACAGATTTTTCATCTCATTTTACTGTTAAAACAGCGTCCCTCCCTCCCCACTACCTGCGGGAGGTCAGCACTGGGGAGCAGAGAGCACTGCAGGTCAAGCTCGTGCCCCCCTTCCCGCGGCACCTCCCCTCCCCAGGCCACACTCCTCTGCTTGGACCTGACCCCTGCGGAAAGGAAGGGCCCAGACCAGCGGTTAAGACTGTGCACCGCGCGACAGTCACAAAGCATAGCTCCAGCCTGTCCTTCCCCTGAAATCCCCACCGAGGACCAGGGAGGGAAAGTGCAGGCGCTATTGTTTTGTAAGTTTCTTTATTTTGTGAGAGATTACAAGCAGGGGAGGGGCAGAGACAGAGAGACAGAAAGAGAGAAAGAAAAAGAGAGAGAACCCCAAGTCGGCTCCATACTGTCAGCTCAGAGCCCGACGTGGGGCTCAAACCCACAAACTGTGAGACCATGACCCAAGCTGAAAGCAAGAGTCAGAGGCTAAACCGATGGAGCCGCCCATGTGCCCCCAGTGCAGGTTCTCTTTGCAGTGAGACTGGGGAGACCCTGGAAGACAGCAACTTGGCTCAGCACGGTACAAACAGAGCCAACAATTCACCGCACCTCCTGCGTTCCCAGAGGGGCGCCCGCAGAGCTCAGGCTGCAGCTCCAGAGGCCCAGGCCCTGGGTACAGTGGTGCCCACGACCAGTACGGGGCCCTGGTGGCTCACCTACAGGCTGTGGATCAGGGCCAGGGGGGCACCTGTGCCTTAGTCCACAGTGCCGTCGGTCATCCAGAAAGATCCACATGCAGGGAATCAAACAGCCCTGAACTGAGGTGTGGAGACTGGGGTCCTGACCAGACTGGGGGTGCCATTCGGGGACATCACCCAGGGGCTGCCTGGGCCCTGTGTCTGCACTGCAGGCATGAACCCCATTCTCTGGGGCTGGGTCGCGCCTCCCCATGAAAACACACACAGACTTCGTGGCCGGTCCTCACCTCTCTGCGTGTCTGTGAAGTCGGGAGGGCATATACTTTAAACAAGGCTTCTGCAGAGACAAACCCTGCTTCTCGATGCCATGCCAGAGCAGCTGCCGCTAGGGGGCAGACAGGGACACTTTATGGAGCCTGGGCGCTGGTGGAGAGGCTGGGTTCTGACAAAGGATGGTCCTGGGCTGAGGGCCAGGCTCAGCTACCCTCATCCCCAGGATCCCTTCCGGCCCCTGACCGCACCTGTCTCCCGCAGGCCAGGCGAACGAGAAAATGAAAACACAGAGAAGGGACCATTTGGCATCGTGCACACCTTATCGCAAGACAGGAGGGGTCTCTGCCATGACCCGGAGCAGATCTCAGGGGAGGGCCCAGGGGACCTCCTCCCACACCCGGTGCCGGCAGCGAGGCCTGCCCACCACGCAGGGCCACTGCCGAGGGCGGCCCGCAGACCACAGCCTCTGAAGGGGAGCGCTCACGGGGGGGGCGCACACGGTGCAGCAGCTGTGCCTGGAGAGGTCAAAATCTTTTCCGATACAAAACGGGGACAGGTGGTTGAGAGGAAAATTTAAATACAAGAGAGACTCTCCTTGGCCTTGGTGGGCTGGCTCTGGCCACTTTCCCAGAGCACAAGCGTTCGTGAAAGTGCCCTTGGGCCAGACAGCACTGCTCACACATCCTGGCTGTGCAGATAAGACGGCGGGAGCCAAATAGTTCCCAGCAGCAAGAAGGAAACTTCCCTCTCCAGAGGGGGGCGGGCTGGCAGGGCCTGGGACCCGGCGTGTGGCTGTGACTGGACCACTTGGGGTGACTCAGCCCCCAGGACGTCCTCCGCAGCAGCCACAGCCTCAGGGAAGGTGGTGTGGGGGACACCTCTGCTGGTCAGGGCTAGCGAGTAAAACCAGGACATGCCCAAAGCCGCGGACACGGCACCGGGCAGGAAGGGAGAGACCTCCGTGAACACAGAGGCACCAGGTAGGAAGGTGGGGACCCCTGTGCACACGGAGGCACCGGGCAGGAAGGCAGAGGACTCTGCACCTGGCTGGACCCTTGTGTGGAAATTGCCAGAACAGCTATTTACACGCCTTGCCTGATTCTTTCCCCGTGTCTGTCCTTTCGGTTGCCCCTCTACCTACCGTCGAATCTCTGGGCACACTCCTTGCCAAGGCCCTTCCCAGGGATTTCCGCCCCACCCCCAGCTCCGAGGTAAACCTGACACGTCACCAGGTCTCCAGAAGGCCCTGGAAGCCTGCTGAGTCCAGGAAGGTGCAGAGCCAGGGAGCGTGCCCATCACCGTCTGGCTGGATGTGGACCGCGGGTCCTTCGTGCAAGATCTCAGGGCTGGGAGGGGTCAGAGGTCACGCACACACGCCAGTCTCTCTCTCACACACACTCACACACACTCACATATACACACAGGCACACACCAAGCAAGAAGTGGCAGGTTTGGCACCGGTGGGGCCACAGGCCAGGCACGGAGGCCGAGGTCACAGTTTGGGCTAAAGTCGGGCTAATGCTCAATTCTGTGTACGGTTCTTTACTTTGAGCAGCTCCCTTAAAAACCTTCACTTTCCCAACACTCCAATAAAAGTGGAATATTCCTTTGAAAGAAAAATTCCCGAAGGCACACTTTAAATACAGCCTGTGGGGGGACCGGGCTGGCTCAGTCGGTGGAGCGCGCGACTCTTGATCTTGGGGTCGTGAGTTTGAGCCCCACGTTAGGGGTAGGGATTACTTAGAAATAAAATCTTAAAAAACAATACAATAAAATAAAGCTTATCAAATTCCTGGAGACCAGGGCCGCTCACCTCTCCGGGTCATCAGAAACGCGTTTAGGGGCCTCCCGGGCCCCCGGGACCGAGGTCCTTCCCGGTGTCCCTGGGTCACGGCCCGGGCCACAGCAGCCAGCCAGCCGGCTTCCTCCTAACCCCCCTGGAAGACAGGGAAGTGGGGGAGATTGTGCTTGTTCCCTGACACACGGCCCACACGGGGGAAGCACAAACCCGCCTGTAACATGCTCCCCACCAGAAAAGCTTGCTTCCCTAATTCACAAAGCTTCCCTTACCCAGTCGCCTAGAGTAGGCGGGGTGTTTGTGTGTCCGCCTGAAAGAGGCCAGCACCCAGCACCCCAGGGGGAGAGGGCGCCTGGCGGCAGATAAAGTCTGGGAACGCAGCAACCATGGATACCGTGTTCTGGAGAGAGGAGGACAGACAGGGAGGCCACACGGACCCCTCAGGGCCACCCCTGTCCTGTGCCCACCTGTGCCCTTGGGGACGTGACGTGGTGCCCCCCCCCCCCCGCCCCCCCCCCCCCCCCACTCCTCTGCGGTCCCCAGAGCTGCCTGAGTCCTCCTAGGATAAAAGCCTCTCTTTTTTCGCTATTGGTCAGTTCCCTTAACTCTTTCTGGTGACATTTTAATTTAATAGGGATTTTTACAAAAGTTGGTTTTATTTTGTATTGTACTGAGAAACCTAAACCACTCTTCCGTGTGGTCTGGGATTGTTTGCGGGTGCACACGGCGCTGGAGAAGGCAGTGGTGACAAGTGGGGGCACGGGAAGCTCCTTCCCAGGGGGCAGGGAGGGAGGGTCCCAGGAGAAAGGCTGAGGAGGCCGTGGGTTGGACTTGGGCAAATTCCTCGGAATCCTGTGATTTCTGGAACGTTGCTGGGGCCCCACAGCCTGGCAGGTGAGTACACAGGGCCCGGGGCCCCTGGTGGGCTCAGCACACAGGCCCTGCACGGGGTCCCCTGCCCAGCGCTCCAGCCCCGTCGTCCTTTCCCCGCGGGGAAATGTGTACCTTCCGGCGTTACCGGTGACGGGCTTTAAAGTGAGCTGTGTGCAAATACCCACCAAGTTGGCACACAGTCCCTCTCCAAAGCCCTGTGGCTGGCACCTTCCTGTCAACCGTGAGGACCCCTGTGACCCAACATCTGCTCCGTGCCCCGGGCATTCCCTTCCCAGGGGTGGGGGATGGAGCCCCAGGCCTCAGAGCCAACCCGAGATGCTGGGCGCGATGAGGAGCCCGGAGGACTGATGTCCCTGTGCCAACCCGCGTGCCAGCGGTAGCCACCTGGGGCTACTTGAGTTTATTTAATAAGAGTCAGTGTCTCCATCACATCAGCCACGTTTCAAGGGCAGTATCAGACACGGGACGGGGGGTGCCGGGAGCCCTGCGGCAGGTGAACAGGGACCACCACCTTGTCACTCCTAAGGACGCAGAGAAGCAGGGACTGGAGGGTGGTGCTCTCTGCGGGGGCTTCTCAGCTGCGCTGGGCACAGATACTCTGGAGGGAATCCATTAGCAGAGCACCCCACATAGCCATCCACCCCTCTCTGCCTTTGCTAAGTTCTGATGAACACAAGGCACCTACTCAGAATAGTTCGAAACCCCAAATTCTACTGGGGTTTAATGCTCAGTTTCGGGGCTGCCTTGGAGGTAAAGGTTTACCTAATGGAGGCCTGCCCGGCTCCTGGGAAGACTCAGGGCAGTTATGACACACGGCTGCCTGACTGTGGCGCTGGGTGACATCCCCACAGCAGGGGCTCGGGCTGTACCCGGCAGACCGGCAGACCGTATGGAGCCCCAACACCTCGGGAATGCTGTTCTTCACAGGTGGTGACCTTTCCCTGCTCTCAGTTCAGATCGGGTCCCTGTTGTCACGTCAGGACTCAGCTTCCCAGCTCTGAACGGAGCTTAGCTGGGCACCCACCTGGCAGGCCAGCACCAACGACAATGCCCGACACCCTACCTTCTACGGAGCAAACCTGCTTCTTTGTGGGCTCCGCTCCTGGAGGCACTGCACAGGTGAGCAGGCATGGTCCACATCTGGAGATGCCCCCAGTCCCCACAGCTGGCGCGCACGACCCACATCTCTAGACCCTCTCAGCAGTGGGCGCGCACGGCCCACCTGGAGGCGCCCCCAGCCCCCGCAGAGGGCGCGCACGGCCCACCTGGAGGGGCCCCCAGCCCCCGCAGCGGGCGCGCACGGCCCACCTGGAGGCGCCCCCAGCCCCCGCAGAGGGCGCGCACGGCCCACCTGGAGGCGCCCCCAGCCCCCGCAGCGGGCGCGCACGGCCCACCTGGAGGCGCCCCCAGCCCCCGCAGCGGGCGCGCACGGCCCACCTGGAGGGGCCCCCAGCCCCCGCAGCGGGCGCGCACGGCCCACGTGGAGGTGCTCTGACCTTAGACCTCCACAACGCCCGCTTCACCCAACCAGGCTCTATTCTCAGCACCGAAGTAGGTGCGTAATTTTTTGGCAATTAAGTCCCAGGCAGGAGGGGAGGGGTGAAGACCCTGGTGAAGGGGACCCACCTTCCTCAGGGCTGCTCCCAGGAATGCACTGCAGCCAGGAGAGCAGGGGCAGGGCTCGGACTAGCGCCCTCCAGCAGGGCCCCATGCCGACGGCTCCAGGGGGAAGGGGGTCTCCAGGGGGGTGTCTCCGGCTGACAGCCCCGGTCACCACAGCAGGGACAAGCCTGCAGCGGCAGGGCAGCAGTCCCGTCCCCTGTCCAGGGAGGGGCACCGAGCCTGGCCCTTAGTACCCTGACAACGGGCCAATCGCGCGCGGGCTGGGGGTGGGGGTGGAGCTGGGGTCTAACTCACTCCCCAGCCCCCCAGCCCCTGCAGATGGACCTCCTACCTGGTGCTAACGGGCAGGGGGGAGAGGGAGTCCTGCTCCCCTGTACTGTGGGGAGGGGACGCCCTGACAGAGTGTGCGATGGTGATGCGGGGCCAGCTCCCCGCATTCCCAGCAGAGGGCCCTCCCAGGACACTTTTCAAGCAGGTTTCCAGGTAGGAGAAACACCTTCTCCACACCTGCGACTAAAACAGCAACTGTCTTACACTCTCAGATACTTGTTGAATGAGCACGGGGCACTTAATCCCTCTAAAACCCTCCCATTTCCCCCACCGCCGTCAAAAGAAAACTAAATTCCCACAGAACACTCTACACACCGCGACACGTTGATCCCGAACGCCCCAGTACCCTGGCCACTTGGAGCACAGGGTGACATCCTGACAGCCTGCCTGTCCTCTAACTGCTCTCCTCCCCCACCCCTCACCCCCTCCCTCCGCCCCCTGCCCCCCCACTTCTTCCTTCTCCTTAGCCCTCCTTCCCCCCTCCCCCCCTTTCCCTCCCCCTCTCTGCAAAGTCACACAGATGATCACGAAAGTCATTATTCAGCACTAAAGAGTTTAGGGATCACTTGGACTTTTCTCTTAAAACATCATGAACAGGAAATTAACGAGATAAATTTGCATTTATCTCGTCGGAGGCAGTAAGACAAGCTAACACATAGGTTGGGGGAACTTAATTAGGGTCCAAAATACACGTGGTCACGGGTCAGCAGTATGGGTGCTGGTGCCAGCCTGCCCGCTCCTCTGTACTTTCATCTGGAGCCGTGGCCCCAGGGCACCTGCACCAAGCACAGCTGCCACGTGCAGGTAACCGAGACATCAGAACACAGTCAGACTTGGAACCCGCTGCTGCTTCGGGCCCTCTGGGTCTGGAGATGGAGTCCTCAGGCAGCTGCGGACCCACAGAGCCCCTGCACACCCGAGTGGCGCCACCACTCACTCCACTTTAGCCCAGACGTGTCCAAGAGAAGGGAGGTCCCCCAGGTCACTTGGGACAGATGAGCCACCCAGCACCCCAAAACTGAAGTGAGCACTACCCTCCCATGTGACAAGACTGGGCGCCCCAGGCATGGGCTGACTGTGCAGCCACTGAGGGTGAGCAGTTTGCCCCTCTAGAGCGGGAGCAGAGGGAAGGACAAACCAGGCAGGGGAGGCCCCCGCCCTCCCGGGTTCCTGTCATTTCCCTCCCTGTGGTGGTCTGCTGTGCTGCTCACCCTCTGCGGGAGCCCAGGGACCGCAGGGAAGTGCTGATCCCCCAGGACCAGTCTCCTGCATGGTTTTAACCCAAGGGCCGCTCTTCAACTCTCAGAGGCCTTGCCCGGGACCCAGGGTACAGAGTTGGGATTTCCCCAAGTCTCTCGGGTCTCCAGGGGCACGGTGGGCGGGCCTCAGGGAGGCGGCCCCCTGCCCTCCCTCCCGGGGGTCTCTGCTTGGCACAGACCCGGGGAGCCCCTGCCAGCCTGGGCCCCAGCCACTATCCCCTTGCTGCCACGCACGGCACCTGTGGACGCCTCAGGCTGGGACCCTCCTGCGGTCTCAGCAGGACCCTAGTTTCCTACTTAGGAAAGGACACGCGTGGAAATGATGAGTCTGAAGTCCGATGTTCCACAAGCTCTCATTGCTAGGTAATTATGAACTGTATCCAAATATTACACCTCAGTCCTTCAAACCATAATTTTTTGATTTTGCTACAAAACTGATCCTAAGAGTTCGAGAGAATCCGCCGGTTTACAAAGTAAGCGCTGGTGTACATTTCCCAGCCCTGCTCTTCCCCCAGACACTCGTGTGTGGCTGTCCTGTCCTCAGAACCAGAGTCACGCATGAGCATCTGGGCTGCTTTCCGTGATGAGCTGTGCCCCTAAATGCCACGCCAGCAGGGGCTCCTCCTGTCACACTGCTGTCAGAGTGGGAACTGCTGCCAAACCAGAGACTTTGCAACAAATCCCCTATGGACTCACGTTTAGCACGGCTCATGGACTCTCAGTGCAAGCCTATTAGAACACCTGTGAGCGTAACCTGCGAGTCAGTTCCTACAAGCACAAGCACCAGAGGAAAGGGGGCACGACTGTTTCCAAGGCTCCACACGTACTACCCACCCGGACCCCAGCAGGTGCTGTCTGCCTGCTAAGTGTCTCCTCTTTCCCACACAGGGCTCCTTCCCACACAGGGCTCCCACCTGCTGGCTCAAGGACCCCCCAGCTCAGGATCCTCTGGAGCCCCCACTGGAGCCCACACAAAAGGACACAACTGTCTCTCTTCAAAGTGAAGCTCTGCCCATCTGGCCACACCCACAGGAACGTGAATGCCACCCAACACCTTCCAGGGCTGGGCGGCACCATGCCTCTGCCCCAGGAAACTCTGGGGGCCACATTCAGGGGCCCCTGGGCTGGGTCCCGTGCCAGGCCCAGGTACCCGCAAGCACGTTAGGCACGAGCTGCCGTGTCGGGGACACCTCTGAGCCAGCACAGGGGACAGGGCGCGCGAGGACAGGCCTGAGCACAGGAGAGCACGGGGGACAGATGGCCCGCGCAGAGCGCACCTCCGGAGGGCGGGACGACACAGAGACACCTCGGCACTTGCAGGTGTTGGTCCTGAAAGAAGTCAACCTCTCGAATTACAGTCGTGTTTCTAAATGCGCTAATGTGCTCGTTCTTGACCTACGTGAATCTCACCCTGGTATACCGCCGGATAAAGCGGCACCTGGGCCTCCCTGAGTCTGCGGTTTCCACCAGCTCCCGGCGCGGGAGAGGGACACCATCCTCACTCAAGGCCCTGAGGCCCCGGCCCTGGTGAGCACCAAGCCACAAGTCCTGCTGAGAATCAGAAACAGACCCCAGCGTCCTGACCGTCACGCAAGGCTGTGTGGCCAGGCCGCAGACACTTGGGCCATCCCTAAACCTGTCAAAATCCGGCATGATGTAAACAGACACTGTGCAAATCGGAAAGAAATTACATGTGGTTTCAGGATATTTAAAAGCCGCACACACACGGGCTTTCCTGCAGCATATTTGACTGGGTTGCTCTTCCCAGACGCAGGAAACCACTGGTGGGCACTCACTCTGAAGGGTGGGCCGCGTCATTCCCACCGCAAAGCGCAGCTCGGACAGGAGGGTTTCCTGTCAGAAGTCAGGGGCCTGGATGCCCGTCTGTCCCTGCCACCAGCTGTGTGGCCCCGGGCAGGCCATGGGGTCCACTTGGCAAAATCTCAGGTGTGTGAGCAGCTGTGCTCACATGCCCTGACGCCCGACAACAGAATGCCAAACACGGGCTAGCGCTGGAGCTGAGGACTGGGGACCGCTGTGTTGGGCAGATGACGGCTGCGCTACTCTGCCGCTCACTTACGCTAACAAATAGCACTTTATTTTTATTACATGTTAAAAGTCATTTAAATAATCAGAAGTAACCAATTTTCCAGACTGGTGACCACGATTACGTTTTCTTCAACCAAAACGAAACAAAAACAAAACCACAAAAAAAACGGAACCAAACTGCTTTTATGAACTGTTTTCAGGCACTGCCCCATCGATGACTTCTATGTTTGACGCTGCAGCTAGAATTAATGTGGCCACAAGCCAAAGAGAGGAGAGGGCTCAATGAGGGGACGTGAATGAGGACCACGTCCCATCGGAACTCACGCTGATGAGCACCTGAAGAGGCACTTAAGAACCGAGCTCGCACCAAGTACTGGGAAAAGGCCATGAAGGAAGATTTCGATGTCACAGATTTCCCACCTCCTCCTCTTCCCCTGAGCAACCGCTTTCCTTCTTAGCTTTGCCACGTGAGTGAAGACCACGTTGACGACACCCCCGTCCACAGGGCAGAGGACAGGTCGCCACGGTGGGACGAGATGGGCGGGCCCCGGGGGATGAGACAGCGGCCGGCCAGCCCTGCACCAGCGCGCACAGGCACATGTGGTCTCAGTGCTGAACACAGGCTGCCCGGGGTCCCTGCGCCTCCCGGACACACACAGTGTGCTTTCCAGGTCGTCAGGCCCCTGCACGTGGGGGACAGAACGGTGAGGATGGTGACCTCGGATGGACGCGGGCCCTGCGAACCAGGAGGCCTGGCAGCCCGGGCTCCAGGCGCTGCAGCCAGACACCCCCGACAGACCCTGCGACGCTCTGCGCAACCGAGGCAGCGGGAGGGCTGCCCTGGCCCGTCATCCGGCCCCAGGAGCAGAGCCAGGGTCGGGCAGCTCCCAGAAACCTCGGCCGACCTGAAGTCCACAGAGGGAACTTCTTCCTCTTCTTTCCCCGTCTCAACGACAGAACAGAGACGAGGACGAGGAAGTAGGAGACAGTAAGTTTATCCAAGCGTGTCCCCTGAGCTCCAGTGCGTCACCAGGGACGAGGGCGGCTATGAGAATGCGGGGATGAAGTACTGCAGGGACACGTCTTCGTGCAGCAGGTCAAAATGGACCATCTTGTTACTCACGATATCTGGGGAGAGAAGAAGGCCTGTCTCCGCCAGGACCCCGGCCGGCGCGCATGTCCCACCCACACCCGCGGAGCCCTTCTCCCGGGCCCGGCCTCCCGGTGACATGACCGGCCCACAGCCAGGGAGACGAGGTCCAGGGCTTCGGTGAGAGGCCCCCGTTTACCCAAATCAGCGTCCTTCTAGGAAAACGCGGTTTCCTGCCCATGAACGAGCCAAGTGAGGCGAGGAGGCCCAGCGCGGCAGTCCGCGGACCACGGGCACAGGCTGCTGTGCGGGCTGCAGCGCAGGAGGGGTGCAGTGTGCTGGGCCTGGGTGGGCGCTGCACGGCACAAAGGGCAAACGCGCGGCTGGTGCACGAGCCCAGAGGGAGGTGCCCCTCAATCCGCACGGCTCCACAGCCATGAGAGCAGGAGTGAGGGCAGAGGCCGTGCCCACAGCCACCGGGGCGTGGGGACAGGGCCGCGGCGGGGAGGCAAGGGCAGGCCGCTCTCCAGGCCTCCAGGCAAGCAGGGCCAGACACAGTCCCTAGGGTGGGCAGGCCCAAGTGCCAAGCCAGGAGGGGGCGGTCCCCGGGGTGGGGGTGGGGAAGGGGGCGGCCCCCGGGGAGGGGGAGAGCCAGGAAGAGCAGCAGGTGGAGACCAGGCAGTGAGGCAGACACTGGAGGAGCACATGTGGGGAAGCCACCACGGGAGGAACTACAGGCTAAAGCACAGGGTTGAGGGACTAAGGAAAGGGGAGGAGAAATCCCCATCTTGTTGTCACAATCTCCCACCCTTGGGGACTCCAAGGCACCTTCCCCAGGCACAGGCAGCTCACTGGTGCTGCACACACCCTGACGGCTCTTACACGGAAGCGGTGGCTGCCTTCCGCTTGCCGTGATCAGAGTGACAAGGAGACAGACAGAGCCTCGAGAAGTTTGGGCCAAGAAAGCCCTCCCTCACAGGCGTCCAATAAGTGACGAGAGGCAGGGGTACGGCCGAGGAAGACAGACGGGCCCGCCACGATCACTGGGCCAGCGTGAAAACTCAGAGGAGTCGGGGAGAAACGGACAAGCATGGGACCCGCCCAGGATCAGACACAGAGGGGAAACAAAGGCATACGAGGGGACCCTAAGCCTAAGCCCAGCAGGGTCAGGGGTGCTGAGTCGGGGCAGATTAACACGGCGGGCCTGGATGATCCACACCGTTCTCTGGAAGCTTCTCGCTAGGCACAGACCCACACGTGGGGCCGAGCCTGGAGCAGAGCCTCCAGGTGCTGCGGGGTCCGGAGAAAGCGCTGGGAAACGGGCCCAGGTGACTGAGCTGTTTCTGCAGCTTGGGGGCGCGCAGCTGCGGGACCCCCGACCCGCACCCCGGATGCACACTCACTGCACACGGCCTTCGTAGGGCCCACTTGCTGTCCGGCGAGGAACTGCAGGAGCCTCCTGATGTCCAGGTGCACCTCGGCCATCTGCGCTGGGTCTCGGTCCCGAGCGGCAGCGTCACGGGCTGCAATGACAGGAGCAGCTTCCGGGGTCATGGGGAGTCCGGAGGTGGCACGTTCCCTCTTAGGTCACTGATGGACGTGACCGCTGGCTCTCGGAGCCTGGAGACACTGCCCGATGTAAACACGGCAGTCTGCTAAGCAAGCAGTTATCACGTCCTTCTCTTCCAAACACACGGCACATTTCCAGAGAATCTCCACTTGCAGTGGCCTGAAACCTGACCTGCTGTCCCCGTTCTGGTGGAAGAAGACGGTCCCGTTAGTCCCCCGACATATGCTTGGGGCACGACCGCGAGGAGCGAATACCAGCCCATCTGCCCTAGAGGGAATGGACCGAGAGAAGAGGTCCTTTCAACGCTGAGCAAACATCACAGACCAGACCCTCCATGTCGTTTATGAAGTGAAAGAAAGTGAGCTCCCAGCTCAGGCCCTGTGCGCGGCCCTCAGCACAGCCTGCGTCACGCCGGCTGCCCTCGGCTGGAGCATGCGGCCTCCGCTACCAAGTGAGGACCCCTCGCTGCGCTACCTAAGACAGCGCTTTCATAACCCAACCTGTGGCGATACGTCCTGATGGCAGAAGTGGCGGCCCGTCCTGGGTTCCGGAAGCTGTGCGCACGGGTCCCGTCCCACGTGATGGGCGGACGTGCCCGGGCCCCCCTCGCGCCTGTGGCGCCACCTGCCGAGTGTGCCCGCCAGGCCTGGAGCTCTGCTGGCACAGCTCTGCCGCTGACCCCACCGTCTGCGGCTCCCGAACTGGGCCCATGGCCTTTGTCGCCGTGGAGGGGGTGAAACGTTTGCCAGGCGAGGAAAGGTCTCCCTGCTCATCTGATTTCATACACTCAGGACCTAAGTAGGAGCCAGGAAACCTCCTCCTCCTCGTGATGCCGTCCTGGGTGAGGAGCGGGGCGGACACAGGCATGGAAGGGACGCCAGGGCTCCCGGGGACCTCGGGACACCCCCCCCCCCCCAACCCGGTCTCCAGGTAGAGATCTCAGCAACTGTGCCTCTGAAACGCGTATGAAAGGCAACACAGAACCCAGCACAAAACTCACCTGCGGGAGGGTTCCCGAGATCTTTGAAGTGGGTCGTAACACACACTAGTTCTGTCTCAATCTTCAAGTTCAATTCTCCACTTAGGTTTGCTTCGATAATCTGCAAAGTGAGTACCGTATGCAGTCTTAGAAAAGAAAAGGAAAGCAGGACGGGCGGAAGGGAAGCAGGACATCTGCCTCCACCAAACCAGGTGACAGGGTCGTCCCACGAAGCCCCCCACCGCTCCCGTCGGCACCAGCGACCCAGGGAGCGAAGACACGGCCAGAGAGGGGGCCTCTGAGGGGAGGCAGCCCCTCCCAGGGGACGTGGGGCGAGGGGCAGGGGAGGCCAGGCCCCGGGCTCCCGGGAAGGGCCGGCGCTGAGAAGAGCCTCGAGAGCAAATGCTCAACGTCTGGTCCGCTCTCACGGCTAAAACCCAGGCTCTCAGAGGACTTCTGAAAGGGCTGTGGTCACGCCCCAAGGGAAGGTCTTGTGGGGAGAGAGACAGAGAGAGAGACAGAGAGAGACCGTCTGGTCCGCTCTCACGGCTAAAACCCAGGCTCTCAGAGGACTTCTGAAAGGGCTGTGGTCACGCCCCAAGGGAAGGTCTTGTGGGGAGAGAGACAGAGAGAGAGACAGAGAGAGACCGTCTGGTCCGCTCTCACGGCTAAAACCCAGGCTCTCAGAGGACTTCTGAAAGGGCTGTGGTCACGCCCCAAGGGAAGGTCTTGTGGGGAGAGAGACAGAGAGAGAGACAGAGAGAGACAGAGAGACAAAGAGAGAGGGAGAGTCCCCCAGCCGGAGGGCAGGCAGAGCCCAGCGGTGCTGCACGGGATGGACGCAGAGCAGGGGACAGACGAGAAGGAAGGGCTTGAGTCAGGGTCCGGGGCGCTCGGAGCTGAGGAGACCTCACGCAGGCACAGAGTGGGAGCCGCAGAACGGACAACAGGATCACAGAGGGAAGGGGACGCAGGACGACACAGGTGGGGGGCCCGGAGAGGGCGCCGTAACAGGAAATGAGACGGACGGACAGACGGAAAACAGGAATCACAGGGCAGGCCCTGAAGAGGAATTACAGAGCAGCGCACAGACCAGAGGCCCTGACGAGAGCTGCAGGTAAAACCCGAGGGAGACCACGTCGTCCTTAAGGAGCCCCGAAGAGGGGCCACGCACTGGGGGCCGCAGCGGCTTCCAGGAGGACAGAGAAGCCCCAGCCCCTCCCCGGGCCCCCCTCACTAGAGCTGCCCCGTCCAGGAGGACAGAGAAGCCCCAGCCCCTCCCCGGGGCCCCCTCACTAGAGCCACCCCATCCACAGCGGGACAGTGGAGGGGCCGCACTGGACCCCACACACCTGGACACTGAGCAGCGCTGCCCCCGCCCGTCCTTCCCCAGTGACCCGCTAGACTGCCGCTCTACAGGACTGATCCCTTCGCCGTCCCCATGCGGTCCAACCTGCACCCCCACCGCCTAAGGTGGGGCCACGAGGGCTGAGACCGGAACACCGTGTTCTGCTCCGACAACCACTGCACTCGGGAAGGGCCCAGGGAATCAGGAAGCTCGCCAGCTGCCTTGTTTTCAGACAGCCACACCGTGTCACAGCTCAAGTGCAGCATAACCACAGGCCCGTTACATCTCGAGCAAACACGACTATTTATAAATAAATAGTGGGGAGGGGCAGAGAGAGGGGGAGACAGAATCGGGAGCTGGCTCCAGGCTCTGAGCTGCCAGCACAGAGCCCGATGGGGGGCTCAAACTCACGAGCCACGAGATCATGACCTGAGCCGAAGCAGGACACTTATCTGAGTGAGACACTCAGGTGCCCTGGCTTTTTTTTTTTTTTTTTTTTTTAATTTTAGTTTCAAGTGATCTCTACACCCAATATGGGGCTGGAACTCACGACCGTGAGATCAAGAGGCATGTGCTCCATGACGGACCAGCAAGGTGCCCCTGAGGCTTTTGACATTGAATAGAAAATAGCCCTCTAACTTTCCTGTTGCATAATCTCGGAAATGTGCCCTCAAATGAAAGTGTTTCTGTTCAACTTTATTGGTGAGCCCGGAAACACACCGCTGTATTTCTAAGCGCTCTCTCTTAGAATCTGGAATCAATACATGACTAAAATAACATCCGGCAATCTGTAAACTCTCACTGCTTTAGAAAAACATTGGTTTTACATAAAGACTTAACTCAAGAGCTTTTATACAAAGAGCAGCTCACAGTGGTTTCGGATTCACTTCAGCCCTGAGCACTCCGGTGACGCACCAGAACACGGCCCTCAGCAGCACCCTTTATTTCTCAACGGTCTGCATGGGAGCTTACTTCTTCCAGTGATTTCCTCTGTGGCCATCACCTACCACTTCTGGACGCTGACTCAACGTGCTAAGCACCCAGCATAAAGTACCTACCTCTCCATCTGCAGAAAATCACAAAGCCCATGTGAAGGTGCACTGTCCCACCCACTTTGGGTGACTCCCAGGATGGGGCCCACAGGCTGGGTAGTGCGGCCGGGACCGGCCCCAGGTCTGTGTGGCCCCGAGGACCCCCCTTTGCCATCAGGTCACAACACTATCCCGCCTGCTGTCACCACTAAGCTGACGTGAGCGGCTGAGTGGCTCGTGAGCTAACAGGTGACACAGAGCAGGATGCAGCGCCAACACAGGACTGTGTCAGACCCCAGTACACATGCCCCCCGTCCCAAAACACAAGCTGGGGGGCCAACAAGCCCCCGGGGGCGGGGTCCCTGGCTACCCGCACATGGCTCCCCTGCTCCTACATGGGTCCCAGGCACAGCACCCCATGGCCGCGTCCCTCACGGAAGGAGGTGGGCACAGGGCTGAGTCTCAGCGAGGACATCCTAGCGCCTCGGGGACGGGAGGTGAGCAAGCTGAGCACCTTCCCTTCCCTCGTTCTGTCGCCAGGACCTTCGGATACAGAATCTGGTCACATAGTCACACTCACTGTGCGCTTGGCCACTCTGACTTTCCACCGACTATTCCGGACTGCAGCAGCTACGCCACAAACTTATGTTTTTAAACATTCTGGGGAGGAGAAAAACAGCTCTGAGGACTCGGCCCCCCTAAGCGACTTTGCTGAGTCACCTCCACTGGACCGCAAGAGCAAACATACAGATCCTGGGACTAATTGCCCCGCTCTTCCCTCGGGGCCTCCCCGAACCTCTCTGCAGGTGCCCAGACTCGCCCCAGGGGAGGCTCCCAGCCTGACTACCGGATCCATGGCAGAGCTGTCACAGGACACCCGCATTCTGGGACAGCTCGGACCTGCGCGCACTGAGACACGTGGTCAGTGGACGGACGCCCAGCTCAGTGCCGACACCAGTGACTCATGAAAGAAACACACGTCGGCAGAGAGGATGTGAGGTCCTGTCCAAGGCACGGGAAGCCGCTGGATGTGTTCCTGACACACTACAAACACAGACACGAGGGACAGGGACAGACACGAATGCTCCCCCCCAGCGGAGGGGGCCGTGAAGTCCGGCCACAGCTCCCGCGGGCACCTGAGAAACGGCGGGCTCTCCCCAACAGGCCAGGTGCTGGGAGCCCGCCTCGCCAGGGGGACCCGCGCCCCCGACTCCACGGGTGAGTGCGGCGCTGTCCATACCCGTGCCGGCCGGGGCTTCCTCCCAGGACACGCAGCCCAAACCAAGCGCCTCCAAGACACTCGGAGTGCTCTCTGCTAAACAAGTTCTCACTTACAAGGTGATTGCTGATGTTTTTCATTTTTTCCACGATGCTCTTCATTGTCTTCAAGACTGGCAGATAAATACTAACCTACACGACGGAGGAGAAAAAACATTAATGCGGCTGGGGGCCGACGGTGCTCAGTGCCTATGCTGGGGCCGTGTGTGTGCTTAGCAGCTCTGAAATCCTGTTCCCGAGCTGTCAGAACAGAGCTCCTTTAAAACTAGGAAAAGAAGAACAACTCTACAACCTTATTCCTGCCTGCTCTGGGTCCCCCTGAAGCCCACATCCCTGTGGGCATCCTTCGGTTCCAGGGGGTGGCCTTCCAGCTGCCTTGCACGTGCACGCACCCAGGGGATGCAGGGCCACCTCCCACCCTCACAAAGGCTGCGGGTGGTGGGACCCCAGCTCTCAGACCCTGAGGCTGAACCCCTGGCGGCTTTGGAGACGGCACAGTCTCTTCCCTGTCGGCACAGATGCCTCCAGAGCCCAGTGAATAGCCTACCTGGTGTATTTTCACAACTCCTCCTTCCACAGATTGTGAGCAAGAGGGAAAGGACCCTCCAGCACCAATTCCTGGCCACACGCCCGAGTGGCCTCTCCTCCTCGCTCTTACAGGAACCCCGGACACCCGTCCTTACGGGACGAGGAAAACTCGAGGTCAGGGAAACGGACAGAAGTGACCGCGCCCCAAAACTACTTTAGGTTAGTTTTACGGAAGCGCTGCGACCGAGCAGGACATTCTCTGTCCCGGGTGTAAAGCGCTTGGTGTTTCTACTATGCTCAGTGCAGTCTGAAGGAGTTTTATGTAAACAACAGGAGGCAAATATTCCAGTTTTTTGGCTGGAGTATCCTTTAAAAATGCCTCTCGATTCCTTTCAGGTACATACAATCTTCAAATGAAACAGATGGTGAGGCCGTAACTGAAACCGGGGAGTTCAAATCACACCATCTACTGTGCGAACAGTCAGCGCGCGAGCAGTTAGTTAATGCGTGAGCAGTGGACGAGGGCGTCACTCACGTCGGCGTCTGGGACAGCAGGTTCTTGCAAATCCTTCCACAGTTTCCTAGGAATGACCTTAACGGGGATGTCATGTGTCACAATGCGGCTACTGCTTGACACCGATAACTGCCAAGAGAGAGGATATATGTTTGTGACGTCAACATAGAAAATCCAGGGGTGCCTGGGTGGCTCAGTTGCTTAAGCGTCCAACTTCGGCTCAAGTAATGATCTCACAGTTCGTGGGTTCGAGCCCTGCATTGGGCTTTGTGCTCACAGCTAGCTCAGAGCCTGGAGCCTGCTTCAGATTCTGTATCTCCCTCTCTCTCTGACCCTCCCTTGCTCATGCTGTCGCTCTCTCTCTCAGAAACAAATTAAAAAAAAAAAAAAAAAGAAAAAAGAAAACCCAGTGACTGAAAGGTAAGCAGAAGCCGTCCCCAAATCTACATGGAATGTTCTCAATTGTTTCATCTTAAATCCACAAACAAGTATTTCCAGCGGGGCACCTGCCCTGCTGACCCTTAGTAGAGGTCGTGTGGGTGAGGAGTAAGGCAGGGTCCCCACGTTCCAGGGCACAGATGGGTCAGGGAGCAAGAAAACAGACACGCAAACTTGTCTGAGCTGCATGTGACATGCTGGTCACTGCCTGGAAGAAAACGGAATGGCGACCAGGTGAACGTTCGGTAAGGTCTAAGACGGAGGCCGAAAAGGCCTCCCCCAGGGGCAACATTCCAGATCGCACCAGAACACAGTGCAGCCGACGGTGGGAGGACAGGGACGAGTGGCCCTGTCACTCACTTCGTGTGAAGCCAGGAGGCAGAAGCCAACCCACTCACTGAAGGAACCGAGACTGTTCTCTGTGCGCGCTCAGTGTGTGGCTGCATCTACACTGCTGGACAGAGCCGTCTTTATCCATGTCCAGGGGCTTCCACAGAACAACAGACTGATGTATCCTACCCTTTTACTTGTTCTTAATTATATTTAATGTTCATTGTTTTGAGAGAGGGAGACAGAGACTGTGAGCAGGCAAGAGGCAGAGAGAGAAGGAGAGAGAATCCCAAGGAGGTCAGTGCTATCAGTGCAGAGCCTGAGGCGGGACTCCAACTCAGGAACCCTGAGACCATGATCTGAGCCGAAATCAACAGTCAGATGCGTAACCTACTGAGCCACCCACGCACCCCAACTTGCATATCCTGCCTCTTTACTTTTGTTTTTTTTATTTTAATTTATTTATTTTAAGACAGAGAGCAAGAGAGGAGGGGCAGAGAGAGAAAGAGGGAGAGGAACCTAAGCAGGCTCCACACCATCACCACAGACCCCAACACAGGACTCGAACCCACAAATCACGAGATCATTACCTGAGCCAAGACCAAGACATGGACACCTGACCAACTGAGCCCCCGGCGCCCCCTGCCTTGCCCTTTCAGACAGAAGGCATCACGCATCATGACGGTGTTTCTGCTTAAACCAGTGAGGAACCACACAAGCTCGTCCTGAGGCGGGGAGTACTCCGAGGGGCTCTAACAGTAGCCGACAGGCGAGGAATCCGTTTCTGGAAAGAACTTTCAACTGCGCACAGCGCTCACGCCGGAGTGGGGCCCAGCACACACCGCACGGGGAGGGAGGCTGCGGGTGTGAGGGGAGGGGAGGAGGAGGAGCAGCGCTGGACTGGCAATAACAGGAGAGGGGGTTTCAGAGAGTGAGAAGGGGACGTTCCAAGCAGGAGCCCAGGGTCCCCAAAGCCTGGGAGCTGGACAAGAAGGGGACATTCCGGGGAACCACGTAGAGAGGGATAGGAGGCGATGTGGCTCCCAGACAGGTGGGGCCGTGCGCACAGGGCCGTGAGCATCACGTTAGGACGTGAGCTGTGAGAGTCAGGAGGGGAGGGGGCTGAGGACGACAGGGGTCAGATTCTTCTGGGAGCAGCACTGAAGACACGGGGTTCTGGGAGACGGAGATGTCACCCAAGGGGGTTACAGACGAGGCGGGGAAAACCCTTCCAGGGTGAAAATGGATGGGAGCCATGATTTCTAGCCGAGGGGACCACACCCCTAAAAGGAACGGAGGCGCGGGGACATGCAGACTCGGGAAGAGGCCGCGTCCCAGCTGAGTACTGTGTGGTCACAGTACAGAACATACACGGGGAGGGGCTGACTCCCATGGAAAACAAGATCTGTGGGCACATCTTTCTGTTCAGTAACACCAGCTAGGAGCGCTTGGGTGGCTCAGTCGGTGAGGCATCCGACTCTTGGTTATAGCTCAGGTCATGAAGCTCTTGGGGTTTCCTCTCCCCCTGACCCTCACTCAGTCTCTCTCTCTCAAAATAATAAATGAACTTAAAAAAATAAAAATGAAGCCAAGGAGCTTTCTACGTGTTGTCACAAAGCCCCGACTACAGCCACTTCCCGCCCTGCTGGGAAGGCCTGAACCGCCCCACCTACTCACCAGCTCTATGGAGATGGTGAGGCAGGGGAAGTGTTTATTCGTCAGCTTGACCTTCAAGGCTCTGGCGTTCTGGGCAGTTTTCAAAGCTCGAGATAAATTCTCCGCCGTCAGCTCTAAATAAATCTCGTTGTTTTCCGCGGAGACACCTTCCATCTGAAATTCACTGAAGAAGTTCTCCTGAGGGCAGGAAAAGAGGGGGCGTCTGTGCCCTCTGCAGGGGCCTCTGGGAGCAGTCCACAGGCGCCCCGCACCTTCTCACCTGTTCCAGCTCACACCACATGCTCACGCCTCCATTGGCCACTTTGTCCGAGACGATGAAGTTCAGCTTCTCTGGGCTGATGCGGAGGGTGCAGGCTTTGGCCAGCTTAGAGACCATGTTACTGACGCCTGCAGCAGGGAGTGAGAGCGAGGGACTAGGACACTGGGCTTGGACAACCACCTCCATGTGCGAAACTTCCTGGTGGAAAGATTACCCACAGAAGGGGCTTCAACCTGCCCGGCCCCGCAGGCTTCACCGGGAGTGATGGAATGAAGAAGGTGCTGAAGGTTAACTGGCGCCCAGTAGGCATTCACTCACTCAGCCTGCACCGGCCCCCTACCCAGGCCTTCAGCGCAGAGGCCAAGGACCCCCTACCCAGGCCTTCAGCGCAGAGGCCAAGGACCATTGCGGCCCGACCAGAAAGCATGTCTGCGCTGGGCACACTGTCCATAGGGGACAGCGGCCCGTGTGAGATAAAAAACTACAGGATAGAAACCAAGTTCCGGAAGCAATCCTTGTCACCTGCTCCCCTGCCTCCCAGGCCCACCTGGGTCCACCCCTTTCCTCCCCCGGAGTGGCCTCATCCACTCCCACGGCCCCATCCTGCGGGGGAGGGGGGTGTTCCCGGCCCCTCATCCCTGTCCCTTGAATTCTCCTACGGGCTCCCGTCCCTGACCTCCCCACTCCCTTCATCCCCGCGCCCCTCGACCCTCCCGTGACCCCACGCCCCCATATCCCCTCGGCCACGTCCCAGTCCCCCATCTCTCCCCCGACCCACCACCCCCATCCCTGTCCCCCCACCCCCGCATCCCTCTCGCGGCCCCACGCCCCCACTCCTTTCCCCCACCCCCGCGCCGCCGCCCCTCCCGCGGCCCCAAGTCCTCCATTACAGCACCCCCCAGACTTCCGGCGGCCCGCGCCACCCCCCACCGACCCGGCGCGCGCACTGCCGCCTTCCGGCCCCCGCTCCCCTCTACGCCCCGCGGCCGCCGGGCCCCAGCTCACGTGTGAAGTGGTTCAGACAGGCCGCGTCCACGATCTTGGCCCGAAACTTCATGGCAGGACAGGGGCCCGCGCGGGGAGTCGGGGGACCGCAAACTCGAGTTTCCTCCTAAGCGTCCCGCCGGAAACGCCGCCGCGCGCTCATTGGTTCCGCCGTCCGGCCCGCCCCGCGGAAGGCGGGGACCTCGCGTCACGTGGCCGGAGAGGCGGGATCTCGCGGCGCGCTCGGGGTCACACCCACGTGGGGGCGGGGTCCTGGTCGAGTCTGCGGGACACAGAGGTCCCGGCTGTCACTCGGGGTCACACCCCCGGAGAGGCAGAGGAGGCGGGGTCTGCGTCAGGTCAGCAGGGGAGGCGCATATCCAGGATCAGGTCCCCGGGGAATGCGGGGTCCGGGCCACACTCCTGGGAGAGGCAGGGTTTGGGGTCACGCCTGCGGGAGAGGAGGGTCCTGGGTCGCACTCCGCCTTGCACCCCGGGAGAGGCGGGGTCTGGCCAGGTCTCTGGGAGAGACAAGTCCCGGCTGTCACTCCGAGTCACCTCCCCGGCGTAGGTAGGGTTTGGGGTTAGGGTCCGGGAGAGTTGGGTCTGGGTCTCACTCCGGGTCACATCCCTTGGGGAGGCGCGGTGCGAGCCTGGTCTGCGGGGGAGGCAGAAATCCCAGGTCAAGTCCCTGGTTCTCGGGTCACTCTCGGGGTCACACCGCCGGGGAGGCGGTGTCAGGGTCACGCCCTCTGGTGAGACGGGGTCCCGGATGTCAGGTGGGGTGGAGTCACACCAGATGAAAAGGATCCGGGTCAGGTAGGCCAGAGGGACGGCTCCTGGTCTCACTCGGGGTTACACCCACGGGTGAGGCGGGAGAGGGGAGGTAGGTGGGGGTAAGGCGGGGTCACGTCCCGAGGGGGCGGGGCCAGGGCCGGGACTGCGCGTGGGGGCGGGGGGGGAGGGAGTGTATGGGGTCTGGTTCTGGTCACCCCCGGAGAGGCGATCTATGGTCTGTCCCTGGGTGCGCTGATCTAGGGTCATGCCCCAGGGTGATCTTGTAGCGGCTCTGGAGTCCTCAACCCTCAAGAATGGGAGTGCTTCTGAGGATTCACGTTTTGAAAGAGTTTTGTGATACCTATTTCCAGTTGTTTCAAAACTTTAAAGATTCTCTCCCTGTCTGTGCCCCTCCCCTTCTTGTGCTTTCTCTCAATTTCTCTTTCTCTCTCAAAATAAATAAACTGTACAAAATTTAAAACATTAAAAAGTGAACCCATAGTTTACTTATAAATGATTTGTTAGTGTGGTCAGTGACCTTTCAAGATGAAATAAAATGACCATTTAAATGTACACCTCTCTGATGTAGGGCAGCGTAGAACCCCCCGCCTGGCTCAAATGGTAGTGAGGAGGGAAACAAAAGCAAGAGAAATCCAGCCTAAATGACACCTCCTTACAGCTCCCAGCGCACTGCCGGCCACCTGAAGCAGGCGGAGCTCCACCTTCCTGGAGGGACGTGACCGCCCCCACCCAGTGCCTTAATGTTTATATCGCATTAAAGACTTAAAAACTTTAGGTAACCTTATCTTCACAGCAGCCAGCGTCCAATTCCTCAGAGACTTACTTTGTCCCCCCGCCTCCACTAACCTCACAGCATGTACCCCACCACCCCGCACACCCGTGCAGCTCTCTCTACCCGTTCGCCCAGTGTCCGTGCAATGATGAGATCACCTTTTTGCATCAAAAACATCTCAAGAATTATTTCTCAGCTGTTCGCTCAGAACGCCACTTCATAATTTCATCAGTAGCACTGGTGTTAACCAGTGAGGGTTTTTTTGGTTTTTTGTTTTTACAAACAACAAAAAAATGGGTTTATTTACAGGAATAGCAGAAAGGAGAGGAATGCTACTTTGTGGAGAAAAAGGAGGAAATTGGGAGGGGTTGTTTTCAAAGACCGACTATTAGAGAAAAGCAGGATTCCTGGGCTATGAGGTTTCTCCAGGCAGACTTGCAAGGGCAGTGGATTTCTTGTAGGTAGGAGTAGGGATCCAGAACTTTCCCTGTTGCGGCCTGTCACAGAAGGTTATGTCTTTTTTTTTTTTTTAATAGTTTATTGTCAAGTTGGTTTCCATATAACACCCAGTGCTCATCCCCACAAGTGCCCTCCTCCATGCCCATCACCCACCCTTCCCCTCCTCCCACCCCATCTGTCTTGCTGTGGGCTCTTCTGGGGGGGCTCTGTAATTGACAGTTCTTCCTGTAGTTGTCAGGTGGGGCCCCCTCCACCTTCTAGCTCCCGGCTCCTCTCCCCAGAAGTGGACCTTCCCTTTATTCTCTTCTAACATTTTTTTTAACGTCTTATTTATTTCTGAGAGAGAGAGAGAGAAGCAGCGTGAGCAGGGGAGGGTCAGAGAGAGAGGGGGACACACAGAATCGGAAGCAGGCTCCAGGGTCTGAGCTGTCAGCACAGAGCCCAACGCGTGTCTCGAACCCATGAACCGTGAGATCATGACCTGAGCCAAAGTCGACTCTTAACCGACTGAGCCACCCAGGCGCCCCTCCCTTTATTCTCGAATGGTGAAGACAGAGTGTGTGAACCTTAAGCAATCATCCTGCAAGTTTGTCTCCAGATGAATTTTACCAATTCCTAGATAATACTCTTTAAAACATTTTTTAATGTTTATTTATTCTTGAGAGAGAGATAGAGCATAAGCAGGGGAGGGGCAGAGAGAGAGGGAAACAGAATCCAAAGCAGGCTCCAGGTCGCGAGCTGTCAGCAGAGTCCGATGCATAGCTTGAACCCACGAGCTATGAGATCATGACCTGAGCCAAAGCAGGAAGCTTAACCTCCTGAGCCACCCAGGCACCCCCCTAGTTAAAATTCTTAACAGTGTACATGATAGAAATGATGGCAGAGAATTTTAAAAAACAAAATAGGAAATATACCTTCAACTGTATCCAGTTTGGTTTTCCAAAGACTACATTATCCATGTTAAGAATGTGTTATTTTTAATGTGTTTTGCAAATAAGAACCTACAAATTGTTCTTAACTGGACATGTAGAATCAAGATATGGAAAATAACACAAAGTATTTTAATCATGTAAAATACAAAAATTACAGTTCTGCCTATTTTAAGACTGTAAAGTGAGGCTAAATTCCAGTCAACATGGTTACATAGAAGTGTTTGCCAAACAAATGTGTATGTCACCTTTAACTTTTTTGTTAACAAAAAAAGCTTTTGGGGGCGCCTGGGTGGCTCAATTGGTTAAGCATCCGACTTGGCTTAGGTCATGATCTCATGATTCATGGGTTCGAGCCCTGTGTCAGGCTCTGTACTGACAGCTCAGAGCCTGGAGCCTGTTTCAGATTCTGTGTCTCCTTCTCTCCCTCTGACCCTCCCCTGCTCACACTGTCCCTCAGAAATTAAAAAAAAAAAAAAAAAGATATTAAAAAAAAAGCTTTTGTATTACTTCACAAATTAGTTTTAAAATAGACAAATTATTACGTGAGACGGTATGGTTAAAGAATGTATCTAGGGGAGGGGCGTCTGTGTGGCTCAGTCGGTTAGGTGTCTGACGCTCAGTTTCGACTCAGGTCATGATCTCACGGTTTCGTTAGTTTGAGCCCCAGGTCGACTCCCTCTCTCTCTCTCTCTCTCTCTCTCTCTCTCTCTCTCTCTGCCCCTCCACTGCTCATGTGGTCTCTTTCTCAAAATAAACTTTAAAAAATAATAAAAGAATCCCAACACTACAGGCTCAGAGAGGTTCTGCATTGGTGGACACATCCACGTGCTGGGAGGGTGGCACACCCCACCTCCACAGTACAGAAGTTCATGGGACCCTTCCAGACCTCACCTTTTTGTAGCTCTTTGTTTGGATGTTCATCTGTATCCTTTTTTATGTAATAAACTGGTAAATATACATATTTCTCCCAGTTCTGTGTTCTGGCAAATAACTGAATCCAAGGCGGGGCAGGTGGTTAGGAGAACCTCCACCTCGTAGCCAAGTTGGACACAAATTGTGGGGAACGTGGGGACCTGCTGCTTGGCATCACAGGTGAGGACAGTCTCGTGGGACTGAGCCCTTACCCTGTGGTATCTGTGCAGGCCCTGGTTAGTGTCTGAACGGAGCTGAACCACAGGACGCCCAGCTGGTGTCATAGCCTTGCTTGGCGCTGGGGGAACAAAAGCCCACATCCGGCGTCAGAAGTGTCGTGAAAGGGGAGGTCGTTGTGTGAGAGTAAATGAAAAGCACCCAGAGATGAGTTTTTCCTTTACAACCATCACTTTAGAAAGCAAAAGATCGTGTCATAAAAAAGGTTTGATGTCTAAATAGGTAATGTTTTCCTGTGCTCTGAAAAGAAAATATTATACAGTGGGACATTTTGCTTCCACCTATGTAAGAATCCTCCTGCTAAACACTGCTGATGAATTAACTTTCTGGGTGCAAACATATATATATATATATATATATTTTTTTTTTTTTTGTACGTGACAACTTGTTTAGTTGTTATACATGTCTCTAATGTCGATAGATATCGTCAAGTTCCCTGCCTCATCATTGTGCCTGTTCACGTTTTCACCAGCAATGTGTGGGAGCCTGTTTTTCCAAAGCCTTTCCGATAAAACATGATCGAACTTTTGAATTGTTATAATTTCACTGCTGCAACATGGTTCCGTGTCACTTCTTCCATTTTTCTTAAAACATAGACCTTCAAATACTTTTTCATGTGTTTTTGCGAGCCATCAGTTCATTCTTCTTGGCTATTTTTCTGTAGCTATCGATATTATTATTGCATTCTTGAGACTCTTGACATATTGGGAAGCTAATCCTTCCGCTATCATGGCAGGTATTTTTTTCCTGTTTTGTTTAAGGTTTTGTTGTCCATGTAGCGGGTTGTTGTTGTTGTTGTTGTTGTTGTTGCTTGGGATGTAGTAGAATTTAGGTTTTTTTTCTTTTGTGGCTCCTGAAGCTTGAATCATACTTGAAAAGCCTTCTTCTACCCAGTGCCATGCAGGAATTACCACAAGTTTTCTTGTTATATTTTTATGGTTTAATTATGCCTGTTTATCCTTTACCATGTTGGAAGTTCCTCGTGTTGTAAAGTGAGCGATATGGATGCAACTTTATTTTCCTAATGAGCAGATAATTGCCACAAGCCAGTCTTTTCTTTTTTAATTTATTTTGAGAGGGAAAGCGAGTGGGAGAGAAGAGAGAGAGGAGACAGAGAGCCCCAAGAGGCTCCACACTGTCTGCGCAGAGCTGGACACGGGCCTTGATCCCATGAACCATGAGATCATGACCTTAGCCCAAAACAAGAGTCATTCGCTTAACTGACTGAGCCACCCAGGCACCCCACCTGTCTCGTTTCTCCATCCCCTCTTGAGACGCCGCCTTCATCACATACACTGTTCCCACACAGATAGGGATCCATTTCCGACATATCGGAAAGACTTTCCTGTTGTTCCAACCGTCTGTCAATGTTCTGATACCACACCATTAATTAGCATCTATCTCCCTCTCCTAAATGATTCTGGAATACCAATCCCAGTGTGTGGGGCTTTCTTCTTCTACATCAAGCAATTCTCCAACACCAGCTGGGTGTCCTGCAATTCAACTCAAGTCTGACACTGTCTGTCCGGAGACGGCATCAGGCCCCACAGACTGAAGACTGGGTCCCACAAGTCTGCCTGTACCCCACTTCAGACACCCCTGGGTCACCTGTGCTCCCAGCACATGATCCCCTCTCCATGGGTTCAGTTCACTTGCTGGAGTGGGTCGGAGAAGTAAGAAACACTTTACTCACTGGATAACCGGTCTATTATAAAAGGACAGAACTCAGAAATAGCCAGATGGGAGAGCTGCCCTGAGTGACGACCGGGGAGAGTATGTAGAGCCTCCGTACCTCCCCAGGGCACCACTAACCCCCACATCTCTGCGTTCACCAACCCGGATGCTCTTCGAACCCCATCCTTTTGGGTTTTTCTACAAGCTTTATTATGTAAGCACATGTGATTTAATCATTGGCCACATATGCCAATGAGATCATCATCTAACCTGAGCTGAGATCAAGAGTTGGACTCTTAATGGACTGAGCCACCCAGACGCCCCATGTGTCTATTTATTTAATTTTGTATCTATTAATTTCCTGCAGTTTCTTCCTTGTTTATAATGCGTTCCTTAATTGACTTCACTTCATTTCAAGGAATTCATCAAGCCATCCGCAGATAGTCACGGTCAGACTTGGTCTCTAATTTTTGCCTCTGATTTCTTCCGCTTACCTGGTTGCACTGACTGGAGCCTGTCATCGCTGTCCGATCGCTGTTACGTATATGTATATTTCATAGCAGTGACGGTGGGTATCTGTGGCTCGTATGGTTATGCTTGTGTGAATAATGAAGGCAGACATGCTGGTATGACAGACTGCTGACAATACCAGCTTCTTCTGAACAGATACTTACTTTTCAGTGCTTCTGCATGATTCATCCCCAAAAGCTAAACTACCACAAGAAGATTGAATTTATTTTCGTATTTTTTACCAGTAAAACTCATTCACATTATCTTGGCAGGTATGAACCACTTTGAGGTTTCCCTCCCATCCCCATTTCGATTACTGTGGGCGCGATGAATCTAAGCAGATAAGAACAGTCAAATATTCTGGACCCATGGTCACAGCCACCTGCACGGCCTCCTCTAGTGGTATTCTCCTGGGGTGCCGTGGACCCTGAATCTATATAAACACGTGTACTTTGGGTGACCCCAGTTGCTGAGGATTTTAAGTTTCACACATAATAACGATTCAGAAACTTCATGCTGAAAATAAAGAAAAGATACAAATGAATGTCTTATAAAGAAAGGCATCTCAAAGAATCCCAAGGAATGCTGATCTAATGGAGAATTTGGGTGCTTTCTTTCCTTGCTAAATAGTATTTTATGAGACACCAGTCTAATGGATGGGAAAACAAGTTCTTGTAAGTACAGGACTCATAAGGCGGACAAGAGGGGAGGAGATAATGTGGTGGCCTGGACATCAGATGCCTCTGCCCACCCCATGTGGGAGCAGGGAGACACATGGCTAAACAATCAACTAGGAAACTCCACAGGCTCATTCGTTTCTAACACATACATTGTTTTCAGCTTAGATTATTTCAGTGTTGGCCAAGAAACACCATACACAACACACTTATTTTTACATGGTAGGCAATGACGTCTAAGTCTTCCTGTGGCTAATGAGAAATAATGAAAATATATTTCATATGCCTTAATGGCTTTCAGGGTGTTTATATCTTAATAGGTGACATTTTCCCCCGCTGAGTTAGGAAGACAGGTTTCACTCACATTGTGTGATACGAAATATTTATTCTCTCTTCCTGCGTTCCAGTCTGCCTACGACCATCTCCATCCCCTTCACCCAATGGGAAATGACATAGTATCAAGGGAGCCCAATAGGTAAGAGAAGGACTGAGAAAATAATCATAGTAAAAAAAAAAGTGGTAGCAAATAAGGAAGAATCTGGCTTAGAACACGCTCTGCTATTGCCTGGTATTTGCATTAAAATCCAAGTAGGACTTGGAGCTACAAAGTAGAGTTCAGCTAAGCCTTCCTTAGCTCATGCTTTTGTCATGATTATCCTCTCACAACACTTTGCATTGACAAGCCCACAAACCCAACCCAGGGATAGAGTTCCTCACACCCTATCTTTTCCTGGGGCTCTCATTACCTGGAGCTCGAATGTTTGAATGGTGGTTCCTGTCTTGTTATACACAAACTGACCTAGGAAAATTTCTTCTCCCTCACAGTGTTTCAGGACGCCCTGTGAAAGGAAGAACAGACATGGGGAGGGGGGGGCTGTCATGAATGGATGCTCAGTTGAATAAACAGGCTGTTGTCTGTTCAAGTAGTGACAATTTACGAGATCCATGTGGGTGTCTGCCAGGGCACGGTGCTGTGCTAGGCACCAGTGCTGCCCTCTAAACCCAAAAGGTGTTGAACTTGGGGGCTAGTGAAGCAAGAGACAGGTTGACCACAGGGCTGACTGGATGGATAGATAAGTAGATCAATCGATAGAATGATCAATTGATCAATAGATAGATGGTAGATGCATAGACAGATGATAGATAGACTGATCAATAGGTAAATCATGGATAAGTAGAAGATAGATGATCGACAAATCAATAGATGATAAATAAATATCATCTATCTATAGGTAGATAGATCAACCAAAAGGTAGATAATAGATAAGTAGATGATAGATGGTAGATAGATAAATAGATGATAGACGGAGACACGACACCAGAGCAAATCCCAGCATTAAGCTCCGAGCTAATAATTGAATTTGCACTTGGCCTACTTTGAGTAAAATAAACACAAAATGAGTCCCCTATGCTGTCCCAGTGTTTTCCAAAATGAGAGAAATTTAATCCAATTGCCAGGCTTAGACAACCCAAGTAACTCCAAAAAGTAAGATTTTGTTGACTGAAAGGAAATGTTATTTGTACGCTATTTCCCTTGGACTTTTTCCTTCCTTTTCTCCCCTTCAAAATGGAAGTTTGAGAGGAGACAGACTGGTGGAAATTAATTTTGTGAATCTAAACTTCATCATTAGTTTCCCCAAATCATGACAACACAATACACAAAGAGTTCGTTAGTTCAGCTATTTTATAATGAAAATATTAATATTAACTTTATCATAATTTTTTAAACATAAAATTTATAAGTGTAAACACTATACCCAACATGGGATTTGAACCCACAACCTCGAGATCAGGATTGGTACGCTCCCACTGACTGAGCCAGCCAGGCACCGCATTATAATTTTATTAAAAGAATTAGCTACAGCACAAGTAAACAATGCAGCCACAATTATATGTACATACAACTCAAACCTTATACATAGCTGACCCTAGAACAGGGGTTCAACCATGTGGATCCACATATACATGGATATTTTTGATAAATACAGTACAGAACTGTATTTTCTCTTCCTTATGACTTTCTATTTTTTTTTAATGTTCATTTATTTTCAAGAGAGAGCGAGCGAGCAAGCAGGGAAGGATCAGAGAGAGGAGGAAAGACAATCTGAAGTGGCTCTGTACTGACAGCAGAGACTCTGACCCAGGGCTCAAAGTCACAAGCCATGAGATCATGACCTGAGCTGAAGTCAGACCCTCAACTGACTGAGCCCCCCATGTGCCCCCATTATGACTTTCTTAATAACATTTTCCCTTCTCCAGCTCCCTTTATTGGAGGCATACAGCATATACTATATATAACATACAAACTATGTGTTCACTGTTTATGTTATCGGTAAGACTTCTGGTCAACCGTAGGCTATTGGCAGGTAAGTTTTCGGGTGGTCAGACATCACTGCTGGGCGAAGGGTGCCAGCTGTGTTTTCTTTATCCTGTCAAGAGAGGTGTGTGAGTTTTATTGCCACCTCCTTTATCACTGCTTTAATTTCACTGCTTCATAAATGTGCTGATAGAAGAGAAAAATGATGAGAAGTGGTTTTTATCACCTGTAGGGCTACCCATAATTCCTCTGTAATGAGCGACCGAGTGTGCCTCTCTGAGGTGGGGTTCGGATCCGATCAAATCCAACCTGTGTCAGCTGCAGGTGTCAGCAGACAACTCTTGTGGGTGGTGGCAGGGCCTGCGTCAAAAGGGAGCAGCTTCCTTTCTGTCTTGTAGCCCCAGAATCATGGCATTTATAGACGTTCCAGTGGTGCACAAAGCAGGCTGAGCTCGCATGTTTTAACCGCAAGTCCTCTGCCAGATGGGGTCACCAGGGAGTTGGAGAAGGCATTAACTGGGCACCTAGGGGCTTAGCGTCTTTTGGCTCAAGTCATGATCTCACAGTTTGTGAGTTTGAGCCCCACATCTGATAGCACAGAGCCCACTTCAGATCCTCTGTCCCCCTCTCTCTCTCTGCCCCTGACCCACTCACTCTTTCTCTCTTTCTTAAAAATAAACAAACTTAAAAAAAATTTTTTAAGGCTTTAAAAAAATGGCGTAAACCAACAAGGAACACCTGGGAGCAGACACTAAGACAAAAAGTCTGGAGATAGCCAACTGGTGACTGGTGTGGCAGCCTGGAGGTACTGTCATTGCAAGTGCCCAGAAAGGGCAGAGACAGGGCCACAGGGAGGGGGCGGGGCAGGGGACTGTAGTGGGGGAGGGGGGACCATGCACCTGTTCTCCCAGCATGTGGTTGACCACGCTGAAATCTCCACGCAACAAGGTTGTGGGATTCCTTGAGAGTCAACCTAACCCTGCATCACACTGGAGGTTCTGGAAGAGCCCAAGGAGACCATCCACCTAAGAAGCTCACTCGCCAAGTACCGGCAAGGGTGCAGAGTGTTGAGCTAGGTTTTCACCCTTTGTCTCTGAAATGCAACAGACAAGCGTCACCAGCCACGAGAGAAAAACCCCTTTCAACAAATAGAAAAGTGGTGTTGGGATGAAGACAGGAAGGAACAGAAGAAAATACAGCAGAACTAAAATAAATTCCATGAACACCTTCCAAAACCAAAGATCCCACATCCATGAAGGAAGACATTTAGACTCTAAAGACAGGAGTTATTTACAGGAAAAAAAAAGTCTTAGAATAATCAGAACAGCAGAAATGAAGAATTCAACATATGGGTTAAGATATAAGTTGATAAAATCTTTCAGAAGGTGAAGCAAAAAACAAAGAAGGAGAATTGGAGAGAAAATATATTTTTTAAATAATAAGTGATTACGTTGAATCGCCAGGATGCAGAAATGAAGTTCCTGCAGATCGGAGAAGAGGGGACCGAGTGGCCCAGAAGGACATCTTTAAAAAGTAAAATAAAGAAGAAACTTGGAAACTATCTGACATGAAAGAACGTAACAGCAGGATTTTGACACTTCTGAAAAAGAAGTAATGAATGTTTTTGTGATAAGAATATAGAAAAGTAAGCAAATTATTTTTTTAGGTTTATTTATTTTGAAAGAGAGTGAGCAGGGAAGGGGCAGAGAGAGAGAGAGAGAGAGAATCGCAAGCAGGCTCCACACAATCAGTGCAGAGCTCAGCATGGGGCTCGATCCCATGAACCTCCAGATCATGACCTGAGCTGTAACCCAGAATTGGATGCTTCACCAACTGAGCCACCCAGGCGCCCCAAGCAAAGTAAATTAAAACAAGACATTTGTTGTCCTTGGGAACATCAAAACTCTTACACAAAGAAAGTCATCTTCAAATATACGATATGGCTCAACTGAGAAGATCACTGACCCAGTCACAGTGAAAACACTGCATACCAATTGAAAGTAAGAGACACCGTGTAGCAGCATCTTGAACATGAAATGAAGGTTTACCATGTGATCTAGGAATTCCATTTCTCAATGTAGGTCCAAGTGAAAAGAAAATCAATGTGACACGAAGACAAACATCCCCAGCAGCGTTATTCATCACAGTCAAAAAAGTGGAAGCAATCCAAATGCCCAACATCTGATGAATGGATACATAAAACGTGGTCTATCCACCCAGTGAAGTAGTTCGTATTCAACAATTGAAAAAATAAAGTACTGACATGTTATAACACAGGTGATCCTTGAAAACATGTTCCCAAGTGAAAGGAACCATTTGCGAAGGACCACGTATTCCACAATTCCATTTATGTGAATGAAATGTCCAGAATGAGTAGAGTCCTGTAGAGTCCTACAGAGACCACGTAGGTCAGTGGTGGCAGGGAGTGACAGACGGAAGATGAGAGGTGACAGCTCGGAGTGCGAGTTTTCTTTTGGGAGCAACAAAAATGTGCCAGGGGTGCCTGGGTGGCTCAGTTGTTGAGCATCTGACTCTAGATTTCGGCGCAGGTCACAATCTCACTGTTGGTGAGATCGAGCCCCACATCAGGCTCTGGGCTAACAGTGCAGAGCCTGCTTGGGATTCTCTCTCTCTTTCTTTCTCTCTCTCTCTCTGCCTCTCTGCCTTCTTCCCACTTGTGCTCTCAAAATGAATAAACATTTTTTAAACATGTTCTAAAATTGACTGTGGATGGATACTCAACTCTGTGAATATATTATAAGCCACTGAAGTGAACACTTTATATAGTTGAATTGCTCATGTGTGAATTACATCTCAATACACTTGTTGGGTTTTTTTGTTTTTTTGTTTTTTACAAAAAAGTAAGACGTACAAATTTGGGGAGGATGGGAGAGCCATGGAAGAGGCTACTCTTCATTTTTCATCAAAGGATGCCAATAGATTATCAGCAAAACTGAACGATCAAGAAGTAAAAGTAGGGGCACCTGGCAGACTCAGTGGGTGGCGAGTGTGACTCTTGATTTGGGGCTTGGTGATTTCAAGCCCCACATTAGTTGTAGAGATTACTTAAAAAAAAAAAAGGTGGGACACCTGGGTGGCTCAGTCAGTTAAGTGTCCAACTTCGGCTCAGGTCATGATCTTGCAGTTTGTGGGTTCAAGCCCTGTGTCGGGCTCTGTGCTGACAGCCAGCTCAGAGCCTGGAGCCTGTTTCGGATTCTGTGTCTCCCTTCTCTCTCTGACCCTCCCCTGCTCACGCTGTCTCTCTCTCTCTCAGAAATAAATAAAAAACATTTTTTTATAAAAAGGTAATTTAGGGGCACCTAGGTGGCTCAGTCTGTTAACACATCTGATTTCAGCTCAGGTCATGATTTCGCAGTTCATGAGATCAAGCTCTGTATCAGGCTCTGTGCTGACAGTGCGGAGACTGCTTGGGATTCTCTTTCCCCCAACTTGTGCTTTATCTCTCTCTGAAAATAAATAAGTAAACTTAAAAAAAAAAAAAAAGAAGTGATAATAAAAGCAGATATAAAGGCAAGTATCTAAAGGAGTGGCTAAAATTGTTGCAGACAGAAGCTTCCAGAGAGTAGAAACCTGGGGTGGGAGCCCTGATGCAAGAAAAAAAGTGCTGAATTATAAGCATATGAGAATGTTCATTTTTAAATTGTGTGCAGATAGCTTAGACAAAAGTAAAAAAATAGAATTGAGTAATAGAAAGTATCTGGTCCAACCCTCTCGTTGTCGATGGAGAGCAGAGGTCCAGGGAATAAGTAACTCACAGTGATAAAAAACAGTTCCTAGCCACCCCCTCCAATCATAATCCACTCTGAACACAGATTTTGACTGCCTCTCACATAGACGGAAAATTCCTTGGGTGCACTGGAGATGTTTCCTGAGGGAGACACCATCTCGGAGATGTGCTCCATGGTAACAGCAGTGGGTGTGATCTTCCTGGCAAGCTTGATCAGGGCGTGACCCTGGGAACCTGGGAAGGCCCAGCACTTTCCAGGGTGGACATCCGGCTGGAAAGAAAACGTAGAGTTAAATCTCTTGTCTGGTTGTATAAATCCACCACTGCAATATTGGTCAGCAAATCACTATTGACCACAGATCCCGCTTATGCCTGTGACATGCGTCGGACAGGACGCATGTCACATGGGAAAACTGCCAGTATACCTGTGGGTTTGGTTGTTCTTCCGGAGCACATTATGTTTATATCAAACGAAACCCTTTATTTCAGGATTATATATTATATGATTACATAATTTATGATATTTTCTTTTGTTACTCTAATTAGACTGTGCACTGCAGCTAACTGGCATGAGTGGTGGCGGTGTGCTGGTGGGAAAGACAGTGACAATGGTGGTGGTGGTGATGGTGATGGTGGTGGTGATGGTGATGGTGGTGATGGTGGTGGTGGTGGTGGTGATGGTGGTGGTGGTGGTGATGGTGGTGATGGTGGAGGTAGTGATGGTGATGGTGGCGATGATGGTGGTGGTGGTGGTGTTGGAGACGGAGACAGTGGTAGTTGTAAGACAGAAAAATGATGTCTACCATTTTCTAGATCTAGAGTCTGAAATGAGATCCTTACAATGGGTCCTGAAGGTCTTCCTACCTTGGAAACTGACTTTAGGTTTGTAAATTGTGGTTAAGAAGAATCCTACCATCATCTGTTGATGTCTGTCCAGAGCCTTTCAAATTGAGCTCAAATGTTAGTGGAGATCTTATTTGGAAATTTCTCCTGTTACAACTGGACTTTGTAAGAATGCGTTGGCCTGAGCAGCGTGTAGCATGGCACTGGCGCTGAGGGGACAGGCGCCTTGAGCAGGTGTTTGTTCAAAGACTGAAGCTTTCAGTGAAAAGGGTGGTGGGGCACAGAAGCAACTAAAGGAAAACACATGGAAAGTGTGTGTCCTATTTACAAAGTTAAATCAGCTAGTCTACTGATCTTAAAATAATGAAAAACAATAATTAATAAATCATAATTTACTGCTTATACAATAAGAAATAATTGATATAGTCAGATGACTATTGGAATGCAAGGAGATGGGTTCAGGTTCTGTGAAAAGTTCAGAGTGGCCTCCGTTTGGATGTTAATATTTTCATGATAAATAACAGATTCCTCTGAGTCTAGCTTTTACCTGAAGAATAATGTCTGGGGGCATTTCATAGGTTAAGAATTTGATTCCATGCCAGTAAAGTTTTGCTTTATTATTTTTGTAACTTTCAGAGGTCCCAGCTTCAATGATGGAGGCCCCTAAAAAGAAAAAATAATTTAAAAACGAAAACGTTATGCAACTCAAGACACGTCACTTATATTTATTTTATTTTTAAAGGATATTTATTTATTTATATATAAAGAGGGGGGTACAGAGAGAGAGAATCCCAAGCAGGTCCCAAGTCGCCAGGACAGAGCCCAATACTGGGCTCGATACCATGAACCACAAACCACGAGATCATAACCTGAAGTGAAATAAAGAGTCAGACGGCTAACCAACTGAGCCACCCAGGCGCCCGTCATTTATATATATACATATATATATATATTTGTTTATATTTATATTTACATTTATGTATGTATTTAGAAATGTATATATATATATTTAGAAATAACACTCTTTAATGCTTATTTATTTATTTTTGAGAGAGGGAGACAGAATCCCCATCAGGTACCACACTGTCAGCACAGGGCTCGAACACACGAACCATGAGATCATGACTTGAGATGAAACCAAGAGTCGGAAGCTTAACCACCTGAGCCACCCAGGTGCCTCCTGTCATTTGTATTTTAATAATGTTGTTAGAAAAGTATTCCCAGGCAAATTACAAGTAAGTTAAGGTTCACACTCGGGAAGGGGCCAGGAAAGTATGACTTCCCGCTCTCATTACTGCTGAGATGTTCCAACTTTGAGAAAACCATATGTGTTCCGTGTAGTTTCACAAAATTTCTAAAACTGGTATTAACTGAATTCCAGAGCAGTCGATTCAGAGGTGGAAATAATTATGTGCATTTGTGTTTATTACCTAAACAGGCATATGGACCCCCATATTGTCACAGGTCATGTGATGAGACTTTATGTCAGCCCAATCTATTCAATCACAAAAAGCATAAAATCCAACAATGTCGTAAATGTATCAACAAGTTATATTCATAAGAGCAATTCTACAGAGTCACTGAGCTTTAACTTTAACTGAAGAAATACAAAAATCTCCTTACCAAGTGTTATCCTGTCAGGTTATTTCGTTTTAGAAGCAAAATGTAGTTTAGACACAAGAAATGAAGTCAATGCAAATCGCTTCCTCAAGCTGCATCTGGATATCACAATACATGTTAAAAATGCACGTACGTACCTGACTGAACATCCAATTGCCAGTATTTTTTTTGGAGATGGCAGAATCTGAAATAGTTATTGTGCACCTAAGGTTGCCAGATTTAGCAAGCAAAAATACAAGACTTCCAGTTAAATTTGAATTTCAGGTAATTCCCATACAATATTTGGGAGATACTTAAAAGTTAGTTGCTGTTTGCCTGAAATTCACAGTTAACTGGACATCCATTTTTTTATACTAAGCAGGTTTTCTTTTCTTTTAAGATTTTTAAATTTTATTTATTTTGAGAGAGTGAGAGAGCATGCAAGTGGGGAGGAGCAGAGAGAGAAAAAGAGAGAGAGAGAGAATCCCAGGCAGGCTCTGAGACATCTTCACAGAGCCCGACATGGGGTTCCATCTCATAAACTGTGAGATCATGACCTGAGCCAAAACTAAGAGTCAGATGCTTAACCAACTGAGCCACAAAGGCACCCTCGAAGCAGGTTTTCTTGATCAAGTTTTTTAAGATTTGAATTTTAATTAATTTCTATACCCAACAAGGGGCTTGAACTCACAACTCTGAGATCTCACAACCCCAAGATCAAACGTCACTCTACTGACTGAGCCAGCCGGGTGCCCTAAGTATATGTAGGGTTTTTTAAGCAGGTATATGTATTCACTTTTTCACTGACTGATTTTTAAATTTCTAATCAGCTTTATTGAGATAAAACTCACATACTATGTTATTCACCTATTTAAAGAGCACAATTGGGTGGCTTTTAGAATATTCAGAGTTGTACAACCATGACCACAATCAATATTACAACATTTTCAATCAGGGGCATCTGGGTGGCTCAGTTGGTTGAGCTCCCAACTCTTAATTTTGGCTCAGCTCAAGATCTCACAGTTCGTGAGATTGAGCCCCGTGTCAGGTTTTTTGCTGAGAGCACAGAGCCTGCTTGGGATTCTCTCCCTCTCTCTCTGTCCCTCTTCTGCCCCCCAAATAAAGAAATCAACATTTTAAAAAAGAAATCTTTTTTGAACTTAGTCACAAGGATCTTTCTTCTAGAAGTTTTACAGCTTTAAACTTTACATTTAGGTTAGTGGCCCATTTTGAGTTAATTTTTGTAAGGTGTTAAGTAGTGAGTCAAGGTTTGTTTGCCGAAAATGCCTCACTTCCCCAGCACCATTGACTTGCCTTTTCTCCTTTGTCGAAAATCAACTCACCCTCTATGTGAAGGACTATGATTTCACCAAGACCACACTCTCTTAATTACTGTAGCTTTGTAATAAGCCTTAACATCAGAGAGTGTTAATCCTCATACTTGGTTCTTCGTTTTCTTTTTTTTAATATTTATTTTGAGAGAGAGAGAGAGAGCACAAGTGGGAGAAGTGCAGAGAGAGAGAAAGAGAGAGAGTCAGAGGATCTGAAGCATGCTCTGAGCTGACAGCAGAGAGCCCCATGCAGGGCTTGAACTCACAAACCGTGAGACCATGACCTGAGCTGAAGTTGGACGCCTAACCAACTGAGCCTCCCAGGTGCCCCTGTTCTTCCTTTTCAAAACTGTTTTGGGTATTCTAGTTCCTCTGTGATTCCACATACATTTTAGAAACAGCTGATAGATTTCTGTGGACAATTCTGGTGGGATTGAGTCAATAGACCAGTTAGTGAGAATTGCCATCTTAACTGTATTGACCCTTCGAATCCATGCACACCTGTAACTCACCCCTACGAGGGTCGCTTTTCTGGGTTTTTCATTGCCCTCCACAATATGCCTGCTTTTGTTTACTTTTCATCAGACTGTGGTAGTTGCTTTTTATATCTTGTCCAAATCTTGTTGTCGTGTGTAATCAGTTGGGGCAGGGGGATGGGAAGCTGGTGTGGGCCCTCTCCGTCTTGGCCCAACCAGAAGCTGGTATCGTGTCTCATGGTCACATTTATTGAGAAACCATAACCGTTTTCTGCTTGTCATTGTTCTACGTGGGTCATGCCTGGCCTTAGACCTGTCATCATGAAGTTTTCAAAATGGAAGCCATAAATACATTCAATAGAGAAGAAGAAACAAAGCCATAAATACATTCAATAGAGAAGAAAGAAAGCAATACTGAAAAAAAAAAAAAAGGGATTCCATAGTTCACCTTCCCACACTTCAGGGAATTCCGATTCAGGCCAAGTCTAGTCTCTTGCTGTCTTTTTGAACACACTTGCATGCGCGTGTACACACACACACACACACACACACACACACACACCCGTATAATCATTCTGGTCCAAATGCTGTCAACTTCACACAGGATACAAATTTATTGCCCCAGTATAAATCTGGCTTTGTCAGTTGGTAAATATCAGTGTGCCTGCGAGTGCTTTGTATTTTCTGCCTCTTTCTCTCTTTCCGCATTATTCACTGAACACATCCTTTATGGACTATCACAGACAGGTAGAGAATATCAAGGTCCATGTTTCATAGTCTAAGCACGTAGGAATGAATTTTAATTGGAAGACATTTAGAGCACATCCAGTCTTTCACCACGATCATTTAATCACGAATAGTGCTTTTAGATTAGTCGTTAGCAGTCATTGTAGGTTGTAAAGTATAAAATGTTATAGTGATTGTGTCACCTGTACTATTGTCTGCATCCTCGACCTCACTGTGACATGTCAGCTTCCCTCGTGGTCCTGGACGCATGCTAATGAAGACGCGCCCCTTTGCTGTCTCCGAGATTTGCACCCAGAAGACAATCAACTGCGACCTTGGCTATTCTCTTCCTCATTGTTTGGATTTGCTCATTTTTCCTCCTTCTCAAGTTACTGGACAGATAACTATGTTTTCTTAATAAAAGCATATGGAGAATTGAGACACTTGGGAATCGTGAAATTTTTCCAGTTTTTACTCACCTGCTGACTTGAGGGCATAGTCAGCCCTCTGGACTTGGTCTTCTCTTAACTTTTTAAGGATGTAATTCACCAAGTTTGACATTTCCTGTACAAATATTAAAAAGGGGTTTCTTTTAGCAATCGCAGCCAACTGCTTGAGTTTTGACAACTCACTGTGTCGATCTGGACCTACGTGCCATCATCTGCAAAATAATAACAGTGCTGCACACATCCGGGCACTTCCCACAGATTTCTAACCACCTTCACGGCTCTGTGGGATTGCCACCCCTCTGGGCAGCTGACGCATCCAGACACCCTCCGAGTCCCAGCAAGCTTGGACCGAAGGCCCCTTTGCAAGCCCCGAGACCACCTGTCATGCTCTGCAGGGAGGCAGTCCCACGAGGTTGTGTGTGTGACATGCTGTGATCCTGCCCCCCCCCCCCCAATCATTCATGTCTCCTATAGAAACAAAGACTTGAACAGTCTGTAGGTATTTGGGAATCATGGCAGTTTACATAGAGCACATGACTGCTTGTTAGAAAGTACCCATCCTTAGAGTTAAAAGTAGGTTCTTGGTTAAGCAAGAAGACTCTTGAATTCGGCTCAGTTCATGATCTCACAGGTCATGGAATCGAGCCCTATGTCCAGCTCTGTGATCATAACACAGAGCTGGCTTGGGATTCTTTCTCCCTCTCTCTTCCCATCCCCTGTTCTCTTTCTCTCTCTCAAAATAAATAAACTTAAAAAAAATATTGGCTTAATAAGGACATTCTGATCTCAGAGAGCAGAAGCCCCACCCTTCAAGGTGTAACTGACATAAGCCCTGGCCCCAGGGCCATGACAAAATAGGGTCTAGAAGGCAGTAGGTGTCAGGGCAAGCCTTCCATGTGCCTAAGAAAGTAGACATCATTATTTCTCTCTCCCTCTCTCTCTGCCCCTCCCGTGTTTGCACTGTGTCTCTCAAAATAAATAAATAAATAAACTTAAAAATATACGTTTAAAAATGGGGCCACCAGGGGGCTCAGTCAGTTGATTGTCCAACTCTTGACTTTGGCTCAGGTCATGATCTCACAGTGTGTGAGTTTGAGCCCTGTGTCGTGCTCTGTGCTGACAGCGTGGAGCCTGCCTGGTTCTCTCTCTCTCTCTCTCTCTCTCTCTCTCTCTCTGCTCCTTTTTACTCATGCTCTCCTTCTCTTTCTAAAATAAATAAACTTGAAAAACTGTATAATATTTCTATTCACAGACCTAAATCCGGCCCACTTGACCTTATCAGCATCCGACATGGGGCTCGACCCCACCAACTATGACACCATGACCTGAGCTGAAATCGAGAGCCAGACACTAACTGACTGAGCCCCTGGGGCACCCCTGAAATATTTTGCTCTCTAAGTACTTGTGTATAGACATCCAGAGGCTGCCATTTCTGAATGACCTTCTGTTTGTTTTACTGGAAAATAAATCAGAACCAGTTATTTATCTTGGCGGGAAGTCACTCATATGGCAACACCGTCTTCCCTGGGACACAGCAGTGATGAAAAGCTGGGTGTCCCAGGCAAGCTTTCCTGAGGTCGCTGCTGCCGGGGAGAAGGTCAGGGAGCAGGACGCAAGTCGCCTCACAGCCAGCACTCAACTTTTCCGTGCCGAGAATCCACATTGTGACCCTCCAAGCCCCCTCACCTCGTCGCTGGTGCCCATGGGGTCCTGGTCCCCGCCTCCATCAGCGTCCACGCTGTGGTTGTGCAGACCATCCCGTGTGTCTCTAACCAGTGCCTTCAGGGCATCTATTTCTTCAATTAAAAACAGAATTTCTTGGAAGTTATTCTCCAAAGTCTGGCTTTCTTTCCTATAAACAGAGACCCCCGATGTAAAGGGCGGGAGTGGGGGGCTTCCCGTCATCAGCTGGGCTGCGGGTGGGGAGCCAAGAGGAAGAGGTGACAAGACTTTCTGTTGTAGCAGAGACCAAGTCTTGAGAGCGAGCTCAGGGACGCCCGTTTGTCTAAAGCACCGCCTCTCACTACCAATGAAGGGCAAGGACACTCGGGAACCTTCTGGAGGGCGGCTCTACAAAGGGAGCTGGGGCTCATCCAACCCTGCATGTCCCTCCCTCAGGGCTCTGCCTGCCTGCACTTGGGCTCTCTCTCTTTCTCAAAATAAACCAACTTTTTAAAAAAGAATGACCCACAGAAGTGGGAATAATTTTAATTTTACAGTTTTACAAAAGCATTCCACTGCTCAAGTCCCACTGGAAAGCCCCGCATGGTGGAAAATCTCACTCACTTTATTTTTTTTAATATTTTTTATTTATTTCTAGGAGAGAGAGAGAGAGAGAGAGAGCGTGAGCAGGGGAGGGTCAGAGAGAGAGGGAGACACAGACTGAAACAGCCTCCAGGCTCTGAGCTGGCAGTCAGCACAGAGCCCGACGCGGGGCCCGAACCCACGAACCGCGAGATCATGACCTGAGCTGAAGTCAGACGCTTAACCGACTGAGCCCCCCAGGCGCCCCTCACTCACTTTAAAAGCTCCAGTTGCTCCTTTGGCATTTGAAGTCTGGCCTGGAAAAAACCAAACAAACAAACAAGCAAACCGAAATCAGTCCCAAACCTGCCTGTCCAAGTAGAGTCCATTGTCTTATTCCTAAAGCGGGGGGAAGTCACACCTGCACCCCGACGTACACTCATGACAGGTGGGACGCTGGGTGTTCTCTGAGACACCTGTGTCCCTTCCAGCCTTTCCTGTGAATGGTCACGTTCGGGGGAGATGATCTGAAAGTGAGGAGTCTGTCGTCTGGGCCTCCGAGGGGCTGTCCCTGAGGACACGGAGGCAGGAGGCCTGGGGGGCGAGAAAGAGGCAGGGAGGGGGCAGAGCGAGGAGGAGGTGGGAGGGCGGGGGCAGAGGCCATGCTGCGGCCTCGGGCTGGCCTTGTCAGCGGTGAGGGCACCCCCTTCTACAGGAGGGACGCGGTCATCGGTCATCGGTCGTCGCAGGATTCCATTAGCAGTAGCCTCAGGAGAAGCGTGGACATCCCTCTAGGCTGACAGGTGTCTGAACAGGACCATCCCCTGCTTGCACGGGTGACGCCCAGAATGGCCAGGGCTCGCACGCAGGGCCCGAGGGAGGCGTCCCCGGAGAGGTGGGCACGGCCACGGGGAAAGCAGGCCTCCGTGCGGGCCGCAGCGCACCCAGCCTCTCTGCCTGGGCGCCGGGTCCTCTGGGTCCCCAGCCGCTCGGCCGCGTGACTTCCAGGACCTCCTACAAGTGGCTGCAACCCCAGTAGCCTCCAACGGTAGAGAGGTGCTCTCTTGACCTCAGAGGCAAGAAGTCAGATGAAGGTGCCGCAGGGCCGTTCTCCCCTCTGACGCCGGGCAGGAGCGACCTTCTGCCTCCTGTTCCCTCTGAGGTCTGGTGGCTCCTGGTTCCCCGGCGCGGGGCTGCTGCGCCCAGTCTCTTCCCGGCACCCAGACCTTTTCCGCCAGGTGCCTCTTCGAGTCAAGGAAGCGTCCACAGCAAAGTGGAGGCTGGGATGTGCAGGGCATGGTCAAGGGCAGTGTAACTGACCACAGAGGCCTCTCTGAGGAGCGGACGCTGGGCTGAGCTGGGAAGTCAGACAGGAGACTCGCCTGCAAGATCTGGGGCAGAACACTGCAGGCAAAGTCCTTCTCCAGAGAAACAGAATTTCTTCCTCTTTTTCCTCTTAACACCTTCAACTGATTGGGTGCGGCCCACCCACGTAATGGAGGATCATTTGCTTTTACTGAAAGCCTATCAGTTTCATGTTAATTGCATCAAAAAAACCACCTTCACAGCCCCATCTAGACTAGTGTTTGGACACACATCTGGGCATATATCCTGGTGAAGCTGGCCCATAGAATCAGCCATCAAAACAGGAGCTCACCCCAAATTGACACTAACCTGTGGCCTCTGTTGGCCATGCTGAATTCTCATCTCTGTTCTCTTGATAATGACCTGACTATCTGGCCCCAGCTCCTATGGGCCAGGGTCCTGGTCTTTTTTTTTTTTTTTTTTAATGTTTATTATTTATTTTTGAGACAGAGAGACAGAGTGAGAGCAGGGGAGGGGCAGAGAGAGAGGGAGACAGAATGTGAAGCAGCTCCAGGCTCTGAGCTGTCAGCACAGAGCTCAATGCAGGGCTCGAACCCACCAACTGTGAGATCATGACCTGAGCCGAAGCCAGAAGCTTAACCCACTGGCCCATGGGGACCAGGGGTCCTGGTCTTTGATGTGAGCACCCTCAGGCTGGCCTTCCTTGGGGGGTTTCCTTGTGCTCTTCTTTCATCCAGGCTCCAGCACCCACTATACACACATCCTCAGTGTACGCAGAGAGGTAGCTTCCGTGCAACTGGGAGCGATTCCAGGTTTCAGCCTGTGACCTGCCCAGGGACCGACCCTCACAGGCTTGCAATGCAGTGGGGACCCAACAGCACCGTCTCCCTGTGTAGGGACCCCACACGACCACACTGGACTCCAGTGGCTTGCTGGCTGAGCTGGGAAACGGGACCTCCAGGAAAGTGGCCGCGAAGTCAGGTGCAAGGTCACTGACAGGGTGGTGTCCATCCGTCGGTCTGGCTTTCCTTCCGCGGAGCCGTGGCTGACGCGGCACCTGCCATTCTTCTCTGCTCTGGTCTTTGGAGGCTGGTGCGCGGGGTGGGCAAGACCTGGTCTGGAATGCCGGGGAGGCCGAGGCGGTGGGCCAGAGAGGGGACACCGGTGTCTGGCCTCAGTCTGAGCCCGCTGCACTCAACCTGGCTTTGGGACAAAGGGGAGCGTCGGGCAGTTGTCAACACTATTGGCCATTTTCTATGCCCTGGTGCTTCTCCTGAGCTGTCTGAGTTCAGGTGTCATAACAGAACACCCTGGACACTGGAGGTTTGAGAACAATGGACACTGATTTCTCACAATCCTGGAGGCTGGGCGTCTGAGTTCAAGGCCGGCTGACTGAGTGTCTGGTGAGAACTGCTTCCTGGTTCTTGGTCAGCGTCTCCTTACTGTGTCCTCACATGGTGGAATGAGAGTTGGGGAGCTGTCTGGGGTCTCTTCCATAGGAGCATGTGAGGTTCCCCCCTATGACCTCTCCCAAAGTCCCCTCCTCCACACATCTGGGGCTTGGGTACCAACTGGGGTGACAAGACATCCAGTCTGACATTCTGACCCGGCACCCCAAATTAACGCCCTTTGCGCGTGCAAAATACTTCCATTGTGTCCCAATAGCCTCCAAAGTCTTAGCTCATTCCAGCCAACTGAAAAGTCTAAAGGTCTAGGTGAGACCCTAGAAGCAGACTCCCCTCTGGCTGTGAGGCTGTGGGATCAAACACGTTCTATGCAGAACACAGTGACAGGACAGGCACAGAATAGTCACTGTCACCGGATTACGGAGAAAAAGGGCGGACAAAAGTTCGCAATCCTTCAGTCTATGGCAAGAGCTTGCAGGGCTCAGAGTCTGGGGAGAATTTGTAGGGTTTTAGCCAGAAAGCCACTTAATAGAACGCTGATCCCTATGTTACTTCTATTAGATAGTCCCATGCAAAACACATGGTATCTTTGTTGGCATGTGAATATCCAATGGGGGCTTATGAAGTTTGAAACGAGTGACATACACAATGACTTAACACAACATCACCTGGTAATTAGAAAGTCTTGAACTGTATTCTGCCATTATAGCATAAATGTGACTGGATCTCTGAGGAAACTCTGTTTCTTGAAGCCACATGTGATTCCCAAGCCCTGTTAAGGAAAATACCAGCTCCGATTAAAGAGTCTGTCTGCAAACATTTATGATGCTTTGCATGTATCTATAGGGATTTCTCTAAGCACAAAGGATACATACAATGTGAAAAAGAATATTGGGGGCTCCTGGGTGGGTCAGTCGCTTCAGCGTCCAGCTCTTCATTTGGGCTCAGGTCATGATCTCACAGCTCATGAAATCGAGCCCTGAGTCCGGCTCTGTGCTGAAAGTAAGGAGCCTGCTTGCAATTCTCTTTCCCTCTCTCATTGCCCCTCCCTTGCTCGTGTGTGTGTGCTCTCTCTCTCTCTCTCTCACGCACACACAAATAAATAAACATTTTATTTTTATTTTTTTTTATTTTTTATTTTTTTTAATTTCTAGGAGAGAGACAGCGTGAGCAGGGGAGGGTCAGAGAGAGAGGGAGTCACAGACTCTGAAACAGGCTCCAGGCTCTGAGCCGGCAGTCAGCACAGAGCCCGACACAGGGCCCGAACCCACGAACCACGAGATCATGACCTAAGCGAAAGTCGGACGCTTAACCGACTAAGCCACCCAGGCGCCCCCAAAAATAAACATTTTAAAAAATATAAAGAATATCAGATACTTGGGTGAGAGTATGGAAAGTGGCAATATTGGGTGCTTAACAAAACCAATTCTCCATAGAAATGCTCAGATACTGGCAAAGACGAACAGGACCAACCATTTTTGGACTCCAAAATCTAATCCCAAACTTAATGCAACCAGGGGACTGGAGAAAAGAGCAGATTATTTTCCACTCCCCTGCCTGCCTACTGCCATTCCCCAGTGCGGTGGTGGCTGGGGGGGGGGGGGGGGGGGGGGGGGGGGGGGGGGGGGGGGGGGGGGGGGGGGGGGGGGGGGGGGCAGGGGGCCGGAGCTTGTTGGAACCCGGTGGGGTTGGATAATACACATTTGTTCTTAAACTACCTTGAAGGTAAGTTTTGACCTGCCTGGCATGCCTGCTCCCTCAGGCTAGAAGGGGTTTCTGGTAGGCTGTGATATCTGCTAAAAGATTTAAGGACATAAACTGGCCTCGCCCACCTGGGCGAGGGACGGTGAAGGGGGCATATGCAGACAGACCCAAAAGCATGGGAGGGAGAAGTGAGAGGAGGGAGTCTCTTGTGGGAATAAGGGCTTGGAAGGGAAAAGGGAATGCGCTGTGCATGCCCAGTGCTGGATGCATGCTTGGGAGAGATTGCAGAGACATTCCCACGTAGGAGAGATTGCAGAGACGATCCCAGGCTTGCACCTCAGGGTGGCCCTGTGGGCTCTGTGTGAGCAGGAGGTGACGGCTAAGGCAGAGGTGGGGGGGGTCAGTAGAGCCCTGAGAGAGTGCCCCAGCTTAGCCCTGTGACAGTGCTCCAGCTTACAGCCACAGGATACATCTCATGCTGTCTCTCAATGACTCTGGGAAATGTGTCAGGGCGCTCGTTGGCCCCTGAGATACCAAACAGTGACCATCGCTAAGCTGATGGCTATGACCCTCAACAAGGAATAACAGCAATCCCTGAGAAGGGGGCAAGTCTCACTTCCTGAGTTACCACATTAAAATTAAAAGCGCTTGGGTGGCTTAGTCAGTTGAATGTCCAACTCGACTTCAGCTCAGGTCATGACTTCACAGCTTCACAGCTTCTCAGTTTGAGAGTTCGAGCCCCATCAGGCTCTGTGCTGATAGCCTGGAACCTGCTTGGGATTGTCTCTCTCTCCCTCTCTCTCTGCCCCTTCCCTGATATTGGGTGTGCAAGAACTCTCTCTGTCTCTCAAAACAAATAAATAAAAAATAAAAATAATAGAATATTGAAATGCCCAGTTTCCAACACAAAACTACAGGGCACATAAAGAAACAGGCAAGTCAGGCCTTAATGGGAAAAAAATGACCGAAGCCATCTCTGATAGCCAAGTAGCTATCAATTTATGCTGTATTGCCATGGATTTAGAACATTAGGTGTAATCTCCATGGTAACCACTAAGAAAGTATCTAAAAAATGTACACAAAATGAAATGAGGATCAAAACAGTATAGTACAGAGGTGCCTGGGTGGCTCAGTCTGTTAAGCGTCCAACTCCTGATCTCACAGCTCAAGTCTTGATCTCAGGGTCGAGCTCAAACCTCATGTTGGGCTCTGTGCTGGATGTGAAGCCTACTTAACACACACACACACACACCAGTCCATTACAAAAAATCAATTAAACGCAGAAGGCAATAACGGATGAAATGAGGAACAAGAAAGGTATAAGATACAGAGAAAAAACTATGAAAATGGTTGAGGTCCTCCTTTATCAGTAATTACTTTACATGTAAATGGATTAAACTCTCCAGTCAAAAGTCAGAGATTGGCAAAACAGATTTAAAAACATGATCCAACGCTATACTGCTTACAAGAGATTCATTCTACAACCCAAACTGAAAACTATAAAATATTGCTAGAAGAAATTAACAAACATATAAATAAGTGGAAAGACAACCATGTTTTTGGATCTGAACACTTCCTATTGGTTTTTTTTTTTAATGTTTTTATTTATTTCTAGGAGAGAGAGAGACAGCGTGAGCAGGGGAGGGTCAGAGAGAGAGAGAGGGAGTCACAGACTGAAACAGGCTCCAGGCTCTGAGCTGGCAGTCAGCACAGAGCCTGACGCGGGGCTCAAACCCACGAACCACGAGATCATGACCTGAGCGAAAGTCGGACGCTTAACTGACTAAGCCACCCAGGCACCCCGGAACACTTCCTATTGTTAAGGGGTGCCTGGGGGAGCTCAGTCAGTTGAGTATCCAACTCTTGGTTTCAGCTCAGGCCATGATCTCACAGTTCGTGGGTTTGAGACACATGTCGGGCTCTGAGCTGACAGCATGGAGCCTGCTTGGGATTCTCTCTCTCTGTCTGCCCCTCCCCTGCTCAAGCTCTCTCTCTCTGAAAAAGACACTATGTAAAAGGCAAAAGGACAATTTAGAGAATGAAGGGAAATATTTGCAAACCATATATCTGAGAAGGGTCTAGTATCCAGAATATATAAAGAACACTTACAACTCAACAACCAAGGGGCAAAGAACCCAATCACAAAACTGGCCAAGGACCTGAGTAGACATCTCTCCGAAGAAGATGTATGGATGGCAAAGAAGCACATGAAAAGGCATCGTTAGTCATTAAGGAAATAGAAACCAAAACTACAATGAGTCAGCACTTTACGTCCATGAGGATGGCTTTGCTCCAGAAACCGGAGAACACCAGTGTTGGTGAGGATGTGGGAGGGGCAGGACCGCCATGCCCCCCAGTGTCACCACCTGCTGTAGAAAACAGTTAGGCAGTGACTCCCTAGCAAGTTACCTGGATGCAAACATCCTCAAACAAGGATCCAGATAAGGACACGTGCACGTGTGTTCAGAGCAGCACTGCTCACAACAGCTAGAAGGTGACACAATCCTGGCCCACTAATAGTGACTAGACTGCCGTCTATCCCCAGGAGGGAATATGATTCAGCCACAAAAAGGAATGAAATACTGACATGTCCACAACGTGGATGAACCTCAAAAACAGGTTTAATGACAGAAGCCAGACAGAAAGGTCACACGTTGTGCGATTCTGTTTCTATTCAGAACGCATAAATCCATGGACACAGAAAGCAGAGTGGTGTTGCCGGGGCCGGGGTGGGAAAGTGGGGGGCAGGTGATTATTGGGCATGGGGTTTACTTTTGGGGTGATGAAAATGTCCACAAACTAGGGGTGGTGGCCGCACAGCCCTGAGAGCGTCCCTGAACTACTCGCATTACGATGGTTAATTTCACTTCCAGAGGATTTCACCTCCATTAAGAGAAAGAGAACCCGGGTCGGCTAAGTCCCAGAAACCACTTACAACTGTGGTGTCTAAAACGCGTCTGGCCCGATTGTGGGCTAGCTGCAAGGCTGCCATGGGGGAAATCCAAAGCAGCAGCTGGATTTCAATGCGTGGATTTCGATCTCAAAGGATGTCACAAGAATGTGGGGTACAATTTCCCAGATGCGGAAAACCCTGAGCACAGATATCTCTGCTGCCCGCACTGAGCACTGGTGACACATCCCTGCGCGTGGTCTGGGGTAGTGCCTGGGGAAATGTCACCCACACCCCACGGCAGCGAGGTGGGGACGGCCAGCTGAGGGAACGGCTCCAGGGCAGCAGTGATGGGGACAAGACAGCTGAAAGCGACAAAGCTTCCAGGGTGTGGTTTCCAGAAGAACCAGAACATTCAGGGTCTAGTCTAGAGGGCTCTGGGGAGCTGGGCAGGGCACAGCGGGTGCACGGGGATGCAACCAAGAGAAGGAGCTTGGACCTTGGGCAGGTGCAACGTCAGGACAGCCCAGCTGTCCAGGAAGCCACATGCAATGATGACAAAATGGCACCCAGCATCCTGCCATGTTCTAGGAAAGCAATCCCGGCAATGACTGGGTTGGAGCCTTGATTTTCTGGTGCTTCAGGTTGTCCATCTAAGAGCAATTTTCCAGTGCTCTGGGGTTGTCACATGTGAGAGCCTCGGTTTGAAAGCTGCATACCGCACGTTCGGCCATTTCTTCGATCCTGGGATGAGGGCAGTCTTTGTTGCATGTTTATCGGCGGCATTTACGTACTTCCAGGGCTTTCTGTGGCATTTCCTTACAAACACAAGTCATTCCATGGAAGACACCCTCCTCCTCTTCCCCCCCTCCCCCGCCCCATCCCCAGAAACATCCTGGCTTTCAGGATGGTTGCTTAGTGAGACTTACCTATAAGAAGAAGAGTCACTACGGACATCGTGCTTATGACGATCTTCCGTGACTGGCTTAACCTAGAAAGGAGAAAAGCAAACAGAACTTGTCGGTAGAGCACCGTTAATCTGTAATTCGAACTCGAAACTAATCACAACAACCAAGGCCACAAAGGTGCTTGTTCTAGGTTGAGTCTTGCTAATTAATTCATTTCCTAATCCGGTCTCAGGAATTGAGGGGTAACAAATTTCCGGGATGGTATATCCACAGACTGGAACAGACATCCACGTCCCTCACTTTCACACACATTACGGTTACACCGGTTTTTCCATCTTGTGTACATCCAGGCCTTTCCATGTGTCTAGATGCTAATACAGAAGAAAGCAGAAAGGGTTATCCGTGTCATCTGGACGTAGAAGGAGAAAAGGTTAGAGTCCAATTTTGTGGAAAGGAGGTATTAAGCGAAAGAAATGTGACAATTAACAACTGTCTGACTGGGGTTCCTGGGTGGGTCAGCCGGCTGGGCATCTTACTTCGGTTCAGGTCATGATCTCATGGTTCCTGAGTTTGAGCCCCCTGTAGGGCTCTGTGCTGCCAGCTCGGAGCCTGGAGCCTGGAGCCTGGAGCCTGGAGCCTGCTTTGGATTCTGTGTCTCCCTCTCTCTCTCCCCTTCCCCTGCTCAGGCTCTGAGCCAAGATCAAGAGTCAGACGCTCAAACGACTGAGCCACCTGGGAGCCCCTGGTTCATCCTTTTAAAGCGACAGCTTCTTGTTCACAATCCTCATCCCCAGTTGGCTGTAACAAATCAAAGTACTCTTGACGTAGCACGAATACAGCATCCCACAGGAAGTCCCGTGATCGAGAGAAACCTACAGAGGAGACCGTTTGGAAATGACTTTCTCTGAAAAGGAGAAGTGCTTTGCTGGGTTATTTTCCAAGTAAACAGAGCACGCCTGGTACATGGGATGTCGAACGTAAGACCTCATGGGGGCGCCTGGGTGGCTCAGTCGGTTGAGCGTCCGACTTCGGCTCAGGTCACGATCTCACGGTTCGTGGGTTCAAGCCCTGCGTTGGGTTCTGTGCTGACAGCTCGTTGCCTGGAGCTGCTTCAGATTCTGTGTCTCCCTCTCTCTCTGACCCTCCCCTGCTCTCTCTCTCTCTCTCTCTCAGAAATAAATAAAACATTAATAATTTTTTCTAAAAAAATAAAAAAAAATAACGTAAGACCTCGTGGAAATGGTTCTGCGAAGGGACATACCCATTGGAGTCAGGGTCTCTGTGCTCGGGGAGCACACCGCTGAGTCTACCGTGGCCGCTGCCTTCTTCAGAATGACCTCTAAAAATCCTGGCCCCCCTTCTCAGCTTTGGTCTTCCGCTCATTTCCCCCCACGAGGTAGCAAGGAGCCGGGAGAAGGAAGGATGGCATTCACTTGCTCTTTTCTATTTTACGGAAAGCATGACTCTCTGGAGAGGGTTTCGCTTTCATTTTCCTGTCTTACGTCTCCGCTCTTTCTCCTTGGAGGGGGAAACTGTGACTGAGCAAATGTAGAAGTGCTGAGGACTCTCCTGTTACATCACCTTCTATGACACATCATAATGGCATAATGCACCTGCAGCCACACCCCACCCGCCACCGCGCGGCCCTGGCCGGTCGCTTCCCTGCTTGGTTCCAACACCTTCCGAACAGCCCGTGTCGTGCGAAGGTCCCCCGGACCCTCCTCTCTGCCGTCACAAATCAGGGCTGCTGTGTTTGCTTCAGGAGTTTTCCCCAAGTGAAATACCGCAAATACGATGGGAGACCCCAAAATATCACTCCCCACTCTCACGCTCCTCCTTGCCTTCCCACAGGGCACCACGGTCTGGAAATTGATATGTGCAATTCCCATTAGTGTTAAAAATTTTATCACACAAATATGTATCCTTAAATAACTTAACATTGTGGGTATGGCTCTAGCTTAAATGGCCCTTCTCAGTTTTCTTTCTTTCTTTCTGTTTTTTAATGTTTATTTGTTTTAGAGAGAGAGAGAGAATACAAGCAGGGGACGAGCAGAGAGAGAGGAGAGAGAGAGGATCCCAAGCAGTCTCTATGCTGACAGTGTAGAGCCCAATGTGGGGCCCAGACTTAAGAAACACGAGATCATGGCCTGACAATAATCCCAGTAAGCCCATTCCTGACCTGATCACCTCCCCTAGGCCCTCCCCCCCCCCCCCCCAGATAACACAACACCAGGTGTTAGGTTCAACCTAGGAAGTTGGGTGCAAGGTCAGGGTGGAACATGACACACACTTGGTCTTCACTGTCCTGCCCATTGATGCCAATATCTTCATCACCCTCCGTTATGACCCTTCTCAACTAGGAACAAACCACCAGGCACATGCGTTGGAAATCTTGCATGTACAGCCGGCAAACTGATGTATTTCTTAGAATGACTAGGGCCCATTCCACCCCCCGGAATAAGGCAAGGAAGCAGAATACTACATTACTATTAAAAAAAATTGACCTCATTTTGGGATACAAAAGAAAGCCCTACAACTCTGTTCTAAACACTGGTTTCTGATAGATTATATAATAATACAACTTGGGGCGCCTGGGAGGCTCAGTCGGTTGAGCGTCCAACTTCGGCTCAGGTCATGATCTCACAGTTCGTGGGTTCGAGCCCCATGTCGGGCTCTGTGCTGACAGCTCAGAGCTGGAGCCTGCTTTGGATTCTGTGTCTCCCTCTTTCTCTGCCCCTCCCCAGCTCACAGTGTCTCCATCTCTCAAAAAATGAATAAAAATGTTGAAAAAAAATACAACTAAAATAATAAATCATGTATTTATTATTTCTCCAATACAAGTTATTGATTTTGCATTTCTTCCAAACAATAAAATTACCTTGGCCTTGTTTTTTTTTCTTTAACGTTTATTTATTTTGAGAGAGAGAGCAAACGAGGCAGGGAGAGAGAGAGAGAGAAAGAGAGAGAGCACTCACATGCACACACACAAGCAGGGGAGGGACAGAAAGAGAGGGAGACAGAAGTCCCAAGCAGGCTCCATGCTGAGCTCACAAATTGACCTGAGCATAAATCAAGAGTCAGATGCTTAACTGACTGAGCCACCCAGGCGCCCAACCTTGGCCTTGTGCACAAATTGTATTATAGCGATTTAATTTAGAACAAGCTAAACTCTTCTGTCACTTAAGTATATTTTGTGTTCATTCTTTATTACTTTTCCAAAATTTTTCCTGTTATGCCTCAATCTTAAGCAAGGTATCTTACTTAAATCCATTTTAAAATGTGAAATTTTTCCATCAAAAGAAAGAAAGAAAGAAAGAAAAGGCCATTATCACTTTAACACATACTACAGGGCACCCTAGAGGGTGCTGATGGGGTCACAGAGAAATCCTGCCCCCCTCTGTGCCCACAGAGAGGACAATCTGGCTAGGTAAAACCCCAAATTGCTATGTAATATTGAAACACTGAAATCTTCGTCAAAAAAAAAAAAAAAGAGTTTGTCTTTAAATGATTTTAGATTATTATTAAAAAAACAAAACCCAGGGCACCTGGGCAACTCTGTCAGTTAAGCCTCTAGTTTTGGCTCAGATGATGATCTCGTGGTTCACGAGTTCGAGCCCCGCGTCGGGCTCTGTGCTGACACCTCAGAGCCTGGACCCCCTTCAGATTCCGTGTCTCCCTCTCTCTCTGCCCCTCCCCTGCTCATGCTCTGTCTCTCAAAAATGAAGAAATACACTTTAAAAAACCCCACAACACACAACCCACACACAATTTAGAAATCTCTCCTATTAGTGAAACCCTGGTATAAAGATTATGCCACCTGGCCGAAAGATGGTGGATGGAGTCCCCGGGTGGTTGCGGGGGGCGGGGGGGTGATGTCTGGGGAAAGGAATTGAAACCAAGCCTTATAGCTGCTCGAGGTTGGAATATGTAACAAGGACGGGCAAAAGCAGAAACGGAAGTGTGTCCTGGGAGTTGAAATAAATCAGTTTCAGGGAACCACAGGGGTAGACGATGAAAGACTGGACAGGCAGGACGCATTCAAGGGCTTTGAGGAAGCAGAATTTGTACTCAAATGCACTTTTTTCTTTTCAAAATATTCATATGCAGGAGCTATCTATAAAGATATATCGAGAATAAGATGCCTATATACGATACATAGTATAGGTGATAGTAAGATGCATGTGATAAACATAGACATCTACATATATAGGCGTATAAGATACACATGATATACATTTTATCTGAACACCTACTAATAAAACTGTATAAAATGTGCGTAAAGTGGGACTGTGTGGGAGGAGATTTGGATTCTCGTGAACACTCAGAGCCGGTGTGTGACAGAAAGCCTGCGTGTGATAAAATGTAGGAAATGAAGGCACTGAGACACTGTCATTCTAAGCAGATCATCCTGGGGCATGTTTTCCGTTGCACTGCACCTGCCTAGGTTCTTACTTGATCTGACATCTGCAAACACTGGTTTCCAGCACACTCCAGAAGAGGAGCCTTGCTGCTTAGGGAATGATGACTCTTCCTTGTTATTCAAATTACGATTTCCGTTCACAAGGAACTCCAGGAAGTTCTGCTCTCTTCTATTAACCGGGTTCTGAAACCCATACTGGTAGTCAGGACCCCTGCAGTTACTAGGATCAACTATTATTTACTTACTTATCTATCCATTAGTTATTTTTTTAAGTTTTTACACTTATGTTTTTTTTTTCTTTTGCTCTTTAATGTTAATTTTTGAGAGAAAGAGAGAGAGAGAGACGGGGTGGGGGACAACGAGAGAGGGAGACACAGAATCCAAGCAGCCTCTAGTCTCTGAGATGTCAGCACAGAGCCCAATATGGGACTCAAACTCACGAACCCGCGAGACCATGACCTGAGTTGAAGTCAGATGCTTCACCGCCTGAGACCTCTGGCACCCCTATTTTTTAAATTTGAAAAATTTTAATTCCAGTGCAGTTAACAGACAGTATTGAATTCGCTTCAGGCTTAGTATGATCAACTGTTCTCAAAAACAACCTTCTCTTGACCCCACAATCCCCTAGGCACACAGTGCGGTGACTTAAGTAAAAGGAGGTCCCTGTCATCCTTGGTCTCTGAGCACAGTGGAGCAAACATTTGGCAATGCAACGCCAAGTCTGGATTACCTGCATGACCAGGCGGGCTGCACACCCTGAAAATTCATCACAACATTACCTGAGAGCCCGTGAACCTCAGTCAGGGTTCGTTCAGGTCACAGGAAATTACCTTGTTGCCACCGGGTCATTCCCAGCCCCTGCACCTGTGCAGACCCCAAATCCAGGCAGGGCGTTCACGCTGGGGTCAGATGTTCCGCAAAAACCTGACGGCTCTGCTGCGGAAACGTGGCCAAGGGCTTTTAAAACGTGTCTCTTCAGTTTGCAAACCAGGAATACTCCTGAAAACAGAAGGTGTGAGGAAGGACGTTTCCGTGATCACTTCACTACCAATAGATGGTTAGCAAAAATGGCGCTTTGCGTTTTCCCAGGCACTTATTCGTCCTCTAACTTACTTATTTTTATTTTTTTTTAATTAATTAATTTATTTTTTTTAGTACTCTCTACACCCAGTGTGGGGCTCAAGCTCAAAACCAGGAGATCAAGACTCACATGCTCTTCGACTTAGCCAGCCAGGAGCCCCTATTCCTCCTGGCTTTTCAAATGCATTAAATAAACGGGAGATTGACAAGCAAATCTGTCTAGTTTTTAGTCCTTTGTGGAAACTCCCTGAGGTGGAGCACCTGGGGGAAGAGGTGACAGGCCCCGCCCCCCCAGCGCCGCGGCTCCGCCCCCAATCGCAAGCTCCGCCCTCATCCCGTCCTGGCTCCGCCCCTGCCAGTCCCCGGCGGTTGACAGGGATCCCGCGCTCCGCCCCTGGTCCTGATTGGCCGGCCGCTTCCCCTCAGGGTTCTCCGATTGGCTGCGGGCGCTCCCGCCGCGCCCACCGGTTGGCCAGCCGGCTGTTGCCGGGACGACGCAGGTTGTTGTGGTTTCGCGCCCGCTGGGAGTGTGGGCTGGGCTGCGACCCGCCTTGGCCGCCCGCTGGAAGAGCCTCCGGCGGTGCGGGCAGCGTCCAGGGAGACCCACGGCGGGCGGGGGAGCGGGGCGGGTGAGCGGGGCGGGAAGCAGGGGTCGGGGGCCCCCCAGGCGTGGCTCCCGCCGCCACGCGATTACACGCTGCCCGCCTGTGTACCCGCATGGACGTGCCCCTGCTGTTTACCCGCGTGAATGGACTCCTTCTGTATACCAGTGTGCATGCACCCCTGCTGTATACTCGTGTAGTCGTGCCCCTGCTGTATACCCGCGTGGATGGTCTCCTGCTGTATACGCGTGTGGTAGTGCCCCTGCTGAGTACCGGACATGGACTTCCCTCTGCTGTATGCCTGGCCTGGATGAGCTCCTGTGTATGTGACAGTGTGTATGCCCCTGCTGTATACCTGTGTGATGGCCTCCTGATGTGTGCCGGGCTGTCACTCGCTGTCCCCTGTTGTGTCCCCGCGTGAACATGCCCCTCCTGCATGGGGCCGTGCATGCCCTTCCTGAATGACGGGAGCCTGCATACCTGTCAGGTGGAGGTGGACCGAGAGAGCAGGCCCGCTGCAGCTCAGCCCCCGGGGCAGTTCCCTGCTCACCCGCGGACACCTGGTCCAGTCTGTCAGCGGCATGAGAAACACAAGCAAGGAGCTGCCGGGCGCCACGAGCCGCTACGCTCCCTGCGGTGAGTGTCCAGCTAACAGAGCCCGGGTCGCTGCGGAGGGCTGGGGGGTCCTGAGTCTGGGGGCGGCCTGGGGGCTGCGGTGAAACTAACACGGGATACCCTCAAAGAAAGCTGCTCCCGTGCCCCAGGGTCAAAGCAGCTTAAAAGGAAACATGAAAAGAAAAGGGGGGAACCCCCCAGCTGGTCTTTTATTTTCAACAAAAGAAAACCAGGCTTCCTACTGTTGCCTCAGCTGGAGGGGGGTAGGGTGTCTGCAGTTTTCGTGTAAATAGCTTGACCGTTGGTCAGCCCTGTCTGTTTCCTTGAATGTTGATGCAGGCACTTCCTATTTCAGCTGCACCTCAGAGCATTTTGTGACCCACGTTCTGCTAATAATTTATATCCCCACCGTCTTAACCCAGACTCCACGTTTAAGTGGCTGGACACAAAAACAGGACTTGGGTGGAGGCTGGTGGGGCCGGGGGCTTCTCACTCAGCAGGGTCTGAATCCGGGCGGAAGGGAAGGAAGAAGAGCTGAACGCTGTAGTCTGTAGGTGCCTCTTGTTTTGATTCTCCCACTCTTTTTAAAAATTCTGTTTAATGTTTATTTTATTTTTGAGAGAGAGAGAGAGAGAGAGAGAGAGAGAGAGAGACAGAGCTTGAGCAGGGGAGGGACAGAGAGAGAGGAAGACACAGGCTCTGAGCTGTCAGCACAGAGCCTGACTTGGGTCTTGAACTCGGGAACCGCGAGGTCAGGACCCGAGCCAAAGTCCGATGCTTAACCGACTGAGCCACCCAGGCTCGCTGATTCCTCCCCTTTTTTGAGGGTGGGATGAAAGGCTGGACAAGACTCAGCTCTCCCACAGGACGGGAGCTGGCAGGCACCTGCCTTGCTCATGACTGCTTGGAGGTGTTAGGAAGCCTGGCCTTGGCATTCCTAAATGAGCTGGTGAGATCTGACTGTGACTGCTTTTGGTGACACTGTGGCTGTGGTGGGGACATGGGTGTGTGTGCGGTGGGGGGACTGACAGGTTCCCCGTCGCCACCTTGGGCTCTCAGCCTATATGTGACTTCTCCAAGCCTTAGTTAGTGGCTTCCCCTGCATACGCAACACCAGTGGACACTGAGAAATGCCAGGCCCCATCCTAGGCACTTTTATACATGGACACTTAACCTCAAAACAACTTGACGCAGTATCATTAACCCTGGTTGATAGACCTCAAACTAGCCTGGGAATCAAACTAGCCTGGGAATCAAACTAGCCCGGGGATCACACAGCCCATGGAGGCTCCTCTGCCCAGGCTTTAACCCCTCTCTGCAAGGCTGCTGCAGCCCAAAGGCAGGAATATGGCCGTCTGGGGGGTTAAGTGGGCATGTAGAGATCCGACAGACCTTGGTCTTGTGTGTCAGAGGCCCTCTCCACCTTCTCCTTATGGTAACATCAGGGTGCCCTGTCCTGCAGGTGAAGAGTCGGGGGGGGGGTGTGTGGCGCCTGGTGGCTCAGTCTGTTGAGCATCTGACCCTTGATGTCGGCTCATATCATGATCCCAGGATCGTGGAACCAAGCCCTATGTCGGGCTCCATGCTGAGCATGGAGCCTGCTTAAGATCCGCTCTTTCTCTCTCTGCTCCTCTCCTCTGGTCGTGCTCTCTCTGAAAAATAAAAATAAATAAAAAGAACTGCTTTTAAAAAATCTGCATAATACCCAGCCTGGTGGCTAAGAAAGAAAAAAAAAAAAAAAGGAAACAAAGAAGTCCAAATGATAGTGATTGATCACCTTAGTAACAAGAGTAATTGCTATACAGGTATTAATAATTTCTAAGTGATGGAAGTTACAAGACAGTTCTTATTCTTCTCAGTGTGTGTGTGTGTGTGTGTGTGTGTGTGTGTGTGAGCTCCTTTGCTCACTGTGTGCTCACTGTGTGTGAACTCCTTTGCTCAGTTATAAATCTACTCCTACTGGAATAGATTCAGTACCTGCCTGAAGCTTCCAGTAATGAGAACTGGAAGATACACTATTCCCTGCGGATTAATCAGAAGTCAAAACACAGAGAGGAAAAATAAACCAAATAAACCAAGGAGTGCATGCCTTCCTTCTGAGAGAAAATTTCTGAGCAGAATATGATGAGTGTAGGAAGCTGCCTTTCATTTCCTCCAAAAGCTTCAATTATCTGTGAGCTTTTGCTCAGATCTTTAGACCTTTCCCAATGCTTTTTTTCCCTTCTCAAGTATACTCTTGATTCAGCTAATTACTATCCTTTAGAGATTTAACATTTTTGTTATGTTAAACGTCATTCATTTTGATGCAGTGAACCCAGCTTTCATAGGACAGTTATTTGTGAGATTCTTGTGTGTTACGTGAATTAACTTCAGCATGGTTTTCCTGGGCTGCTCCGATACTGGAGTTCTCCAGAGCAACAGAACCCATAGAACGTCTGTCTGTCTATCTATGTATCATCTATCTCGAAAGAGGAACCAGCTCACACAGAGTCTGCAGAGCAGTTGAAGATGCATGGAAGAGCTGTAGAATTCCCTCTACCCCCTGGGGGACCTCAGTCTTTCTCTCTTAAAGCCTTCAACTGATGTGGCCCACCCACATTATGGTGGGCGATCTGCTTTAATCAGAGTCCACTAATGTAAATGTGAATCTCATCTGAAAAATATCTTCATAGAAGCATCTAGAAAACATTGACCAAAAATCTGGGCACCATGCCCCAGCCTAGGTGGCACATATTATTATTCATCACACCTGTTGGGAGCCTGGCACTGTGTTAGACCCTGAAGGTCATGAATCTGTGACAACCCGTTCCCACAAGTTCTCGTAAATGTAGGAGTCGCGTGTGTCACATTAATGGCATCTGTTGTATTTTACATTCTTCCTTCACTTCGTTTCCCAAGTTTTCAATGGGTGATATTTCTTTTTACATTTGGACACATGACCAATCAGTGTCTGCAGCAGAGTCACCTGAAGTACCATTAGTCCGAGTGTCCCCGATCTCTTCTCGCTGTGGGATCATGGGTGGACCCTGGTGACTGCAGGTCTCTGGGTTCTGCCCCCACCTCGGGGCCCCGTGGCTCATGGAGCTCAGACCAAAAAAGGGAGAGGAAGGGCAGACAGCAGCTGCTTCATTCCCCTCTCGTTCATCCGTGCAGTGTGGCACCTGCCGTCCCCTCTGTCCGCGCTGACCATGCTCCAACTCTGTGGCACCCACCTGATATTCCCCGGGAGCCAGGCTCAGCCACCTCACGCACCCGTGGTCCGAAGAGGGCTTCCCAACACGAGGCTGCCTGGCCAACGTCCTGGCCTCCACTGGCCCCCTCCCGCTTCTCGCTCATGCGGCCCCACTGTGGCCTCAAACACAGACCCAGGGAGCAGAGGGGTTTGTGTGCGGGGGCTTCCGGGTCTGAGAGGGGGCCCGCCTGGGCTCCAGTCCCGGGCGTGGGGCCTGGCAGGTGTGGGGGCTCCCCACAGGGCCCCGTCCTGCCTCCTCCTGCTCCCCGGTCAGGCTGCTGGCCCGCTTACCGGGGTTGCTGCTTCTGAGTCGGGGTTTGTATCTCAGCGTTTTCAGCACACTGAGTTCCCCGGATCCGGGCCAGCAGGGGCCACGCTGGCCTGCGGTGTTTTAAGTGAGTGCGGACTTTGGGGGAATGAGTGATCCCCGATATATTCAGAAATGCAGTTTACTCCCAGTTCCACGGAGGGGAGAGCACGGGACACACAGGAGGGGATCTGGTTCCCTGGGGTTCCCTGCTGCCACCCCTTTGGAGCAGAGGCGCTGCAGGGCCTCGGAGAGGGAGATCTTCCTTCAGGTGGGATCAGCGGCTTAACCCACATAACCTCAGCGCAGGGGTGCAAAAGAGGGCGTTTTCTCCCATGCTGATGTCCTGTGGTGGTGTCTCCTGTGCAAATGTCCTGTGGTGGATTCTCCCACACTGGTGTCCTGTGGAGGTGTGTCCTGTGCAAATGTCCTGTGGTGAATTTTCCCATGCTGGTGTCCTGTGGTGGTGTCTCCTGTACAAATGCCCTGTGGTGGATTCTCCCACACTGGTGTCCGTGGAGGGTGAGATGCTCTCCCTGGCATGGCTCTGTTGTAGGCTGTGGGGCAAACCGACCTGAACTCTGGGTAACAAGTGAGCCCTTGGCCTCTCTCCTCCAGACTGGTATTACCACCTTCCCGTGAAGCGGTCCGAGAAGCCCATGGACGTGCCCCCGGCCTCCCAGATCCCCGGCCTCAGTGATCTGAGCGAGCCTCCCAGTGGGCACCTGCCCGGGCAGCGCAGATACTGGATAAAGGAAACCGACTCGGAGTATGTGAAGCTCGCGAAGCGAGGCGGCCGGCCCGGTAAGAGCCCCGCGCGCTGAGGTCCCCGCTGCGTGCGCAGGGGGTAGGGGCGCTCTGGCCACCCTTTCCTCCGTGTAAATGTGTTCCTGAAAAAGCTACGAGTTCTGCCCATGGCCCTGGGACACCGCGGGTCACAGACGCGGCGCGGGGCGCGTGTAACCTGCACGATGTGCCACTGTTTACAATGCATGCGAAGAGACTGGCTGTGCAGAGCTGGCTTGGAGAGGCACCTTTGCAGAGGCCACCCCGCCATGTCCTTGTCACTCGCAGAGGGTGTGTCCCTGCGGCGTGGGTGGCCTCGTGCCCCAGCTTGCCCTCGGCCCTCTCCTGTGGCTTATCCGCCTTGCCCTCCTCCTGGGGTCTACTGTGTTCGAGTCCCTGGCGATGGTGGGGTGATTTGCCCAGGGACGCACCGCCTGGTCATGCTCTCGGAAACCGCGAGGCGGGGAAGGGCCGGGTCCTGCAGGGCGGAGGGCTGGCCTCTGGGGCGAGGGACCCTGGGAGACACGGCCTCTCTCCTGCCGCCCGGCTGCCATATTCCTAAGGAGACTGCTGTGGGTGGGGAGAAACCCAAGGGCAACACGGGCGCTTTAGAAAAGCCCAGAACAGTCCCTTCAGTTCGCTCCATGCAAGGCCGGGACAGCACCCGTGTCATCCTTCCGCCCTCCGCTCCTGGACACTGGTTAAGGGACAGTTAGTGGGATTTCTAGCAAAGTCTGGATGGGGCTGCAGGTCAGACGAGACGCGAGCGCTGACTTCCTGGTACAGGTCGTGGGCTGGGATCAGGTAACAGCTGTCGTCTAGAGCCCCCCCTCAGGGCCAGGAGGGGTCCCTAGCTGTCCCTCAAGGAGCAGAGTCAGTGACGATGCTAATGGGGGCGGGGGAGGGGGAGGCGGCAAAGGGGAACCCGTGCCATTCCTGCCACTTTCCCCTAATCCGAAATGTCTGAAAACCAAAAGCGAAATAAGATGCTAAACATTCCCTACGGATCCAGGGCCAGACACTCCCGCCTCCCCGGGGGTTGTTGACACCTGGTGGCCCCCAGTGCTGAGAAAGGCCCTGGAGGGAGGGGTGAAAGCCACAGAAGCCAGGGGGCCCGCGAGGGGCAGGGGAGCCGGACAGGTCTCAGGCTCCAAGGGGGGGCCCTGATGACCGGCTCCCCTCGCTGCGCAGCCCAGCCGCGGAGAACAGTCAGACCATGCAGGGGCAGGTGAGGGGGCAGCCCTCCAGCAGCGCCCCAGGGACCTGAGGAGTCGTGCCCCCACGGATGTCACCTGGGATGGCGCACAGGTGCCAGTGGGTGGCAGCTCGGTAGCAGGGCAGGCTTCGTGGGGAGAGGTGCCCGAAGGGTGAGCAGGACACGCACACCTGGCGGGCACAGCCCTGCTGTCCTGGAGCCCCGCTCGCCTGGGAGCCCAGAGGTGACCCTGGAAGTCACAGCCCCCCCCCCCCCCCCCCCCCCCCCCCCCCCGCCATGGTGAGCTGTGTGCTCACAGCTGCGTCTTTTTGGCTTTGAGATCTGCTGCAGCACCTGGCACCGGGGACCAGGAAGGGCTCCCCAGTGGCCTACTCCTTGCCGGACTGGTACATCCACCACAGCAAGCCGCCCACGGCCGAGCAGAGGCAGTGAGTACCCCTCCCCCCCACCCAGGCCTCCCGGGTCATCTTGGGAGCGAGAGAGCAGCTCACTGTGCATCTTATTGTTTGTTTGTTTGTTTTTTAAGGTTTACGTATTTATTTTGAGAGAGAGACAGAGCATGAGCAGGGGAGGGGGAGAGAGAAAGAGAGAGAGAGAATCCGAAGCAGGCTCCATGCTGTCAGCACAGAGCCCCATGTGTGGCTCGATCCCAGAAACCAAGAGCTCATGACCTGAGCCGAGGTCAGACGCTTAACGGACCCAGCCACCCTGGTGCCCCTCACGGTGCATTTGAAATCAACAGATCTCGAACCCCGGGTGGTAAGACAGCCCACAAGTGGGCAGGGGGTGCAGCGTAAGTGACCACAGCCTCCAGGCTGCTTCTGGGACACGGCCTCCAGCTTTATCCTGTGTGCGGGGGGCCCGAGGCCCCAAGGTCCTGTGGCCAGCAGCCCCTGGGAAGCGTTCTTCTCCCTGAGGGATGCGGGTGCCGGGGGGAACCAGAAACGCAGGGGACCCTAGGTCCCCATGGGGATTGCAGAGTTGCGGGGAGCAGTGCTCCCCCCAGCCCCCACGGTGTCTGAGGAAATCCTGTGTCCTGCGGACTAGCTTCCAGACCCCTCTCTCCAACTGGGAAGCCGTGGGAAAAACCACTTCCGGTGGCTTCCACATGTGTCTGAGCTGTCACCCTGTGTCCCTGGAAGGCTCTGCCTGTGGTCACACGCAGTTTTGTCCTCAGGGTTCCTGTCCCCCGTAATTTATTTTATTCGTACTTATTTTTATTTCTTAAAATCTTTTAGAGAGAGGGAAAGACAGCATGCACAGTGGGGGAGAGAGGGAGAGAGAGAGAGAGAGAGAGAGAGGGAATCTTAAGCAGGGTCCATGCACAGCACAGAGCCTGATGCGAGTCTTGAGCTGTGAGATCATGACCTGAGCTGAGATCAAGAGTCAGAGAGGGGAGGGGGGACGGAGAGGGGAGGAGGAAGAGGGGAGGAGGCAGAGGGGAGGAGGGAGAAGGGAGGAGGGAGAGGGGAGGGAGGGGAAGTGAAGAGGGAGGGAAGGAAGGAGGGGGAGGGGAGGAGGGAGAGGGGAGGGAAGAAAGGAGGAGGGAGAGGGAAGGGAGGGGAAGGCAGGGGTGAGAAGGGGAGGGAAGGAGGGAAGGGGAGGAGGGAAGGGGAGCAGGGAGAGGGAAGGAGGGAGAGGGAAGGAGGGAGAGGGGAGTAGGAAGAAGGGAGGGAGGGGAAGTGAAGAGGGAGGGAGGGGAGGAGGGAGAGGAGAGGGAAGAAAGGAGGAGGGAGAGGGGAGGGAGGGGAAGGGAGGAGCAAGGAGGGGAGGGAGGAGGGAGAAAGGAGGAGGAAGGGGGGGAAGTGGCCGCAGGCTGGGCGCCCCCCCCCCCCGTTTCTGCAGGGTCCCTGTCGTCTCCATGCCGGATTACATGGTGTATGAAGAGTTCAACCCCGATCAGACCAACGGTAACTACGAGTCCAGAAGAGGGCCGTTCGACTTTGATGTGAAAACCGTGTGGCAGAGGGAGGCCGAGGAACGGGAGAAGGAGAAAAAAAAGGTGACGGGCACCTGACGGGCAGCGTCCCCACACCTGTGGCTCCCTGCGTGAGCCACGTAGCCGATGGCTGTGTGTCATGTTAGCACAACACCGTTCTGCAGGTTAAATGTTGATTTATTTACTGGGGAGGGGAGGGGCAGAGGGGGGGGAGTGGGGGGGCATCGTGAGCGGGCTCCCTGCCCGCAGGTGCTTTGTGGTTGCCGTATTTTGATGCAAAGGCAGGTGGGAGCCCAGGTGCCCAGGGCTCAGCATTGCCCGCTCCAGCACCGAGGTTCAGTTCTGGGGACACAGGGACTGGGGAGAGAAGCGTATGTATCCAGGCCTGGGTGCCCGTAGGTGCCTGACGCCCCGGCTTGGCGGGCAGCAATGCTGGTAGCACCACACAGCCCAGCGAGGGGCTGCCTGCTCTTCCCGCACACACCCCCGACCTCCAGCCGTGATTCTGGCTTTGGGTCCTTGGCACTATCAATGGCATGGACTTTTTAAAACTTTTTTTAATATGTATTTATTTTTGAGTGAGAGAGACAGAGCATGAACATGAGCAGGGGAGGGGCAGAGAGCGAGCGAGACACAGAATCCAAAGCAGGCTCCAGGCTCTGAGCTGTCAGCACAGAGCCCAAGGTGGGGCTGAAACCCACAAACTGCGAGATCATGACATGACTGAAGTCAGACACTTAACCGACTGAGCCACCCAGGCGCCCCTGGATTTTTAAAATAATTATTTATTTATTTAGGTGGGGGTGGGGCAGAGAGAGAGAGAGGGAGAGAATCCTAAGCAGGCTCCACGCTGTCAGCATAGAGCCCCATGCAGGGCTGGAACTCGCAAACAGTAAAATTGTGACTTGAGCTGAAATCAAGAGTTGGGTGCTTAGCTGACTGAACCACCCAGGCGCCCCAATGTGAACTGATTTTTTTTTATTTATTTAAAATTTTTTTTTAACATTTATTTATTATTGAGAGACAGAGAGACAGAGCATGAGTGAGGGAGGGGCAGAGAGAGAGGGAGACACAGAATCTGAAGCAGGCTCCCGGCTCCGAGCTGTCAGCACAGAGCCTGATGCGGGGCTTGAACTCACGAACCATGAGATCATGACCTGAGCTGAAGTCGGACGCTTAACCGACTGAGCCCCCCAGGTGGCTAGATGTGGACTATTTTAAAGACCAGGTCTGTTTCTTGCGGATATGTAAGAGCCCAAGCCATGTAGCTGTAAATGGGGTCCCCAGGAGTTACCCGTGGCCACGGTGCAGGTCCAGGGGCCTCTGAAGCGATCACAGAGCAGGCAGCAAGCCAGGCCGGGTGTGAAGGGGCTGTGGCTAGAGACACCAACCAGGCGGACAGGTCCCTGAGTTACAGGGACGAGGTGTGGGGTGCTTTCCAGGGGACACGCACCCCGTGGGGGACGGCCCAGACAGCGGCAGCGTATCTTCATCTCGCTCCTGTGCACAGCTCACCAGAACTGTCCAAAGCGCATGTTTTCTCTGTGTCCCGCAGGCCTCTGGCACAGTTAGAGTAAGACCTTGACTGTGCACGGGCGCGTGCTGCGAGGCGAAGTTGGTAGGCTGTGCTGGATTTGACGAGTGTCCGTCCCGGCCTCTGGTGAGGGCCTGGCTGTCCCCCCGCTCATCCCCCTGGGCCTGGAGTGCATCTGGGACATGGAGTCAGCATGTGACAGACAGGAGACAGGATTTAGGACAAAATGTCCCCCGTGGACGACCAGCATTGTGGGGTCTCAGTCACCTGCAGGATCCTGTCTGGTCTTTTCCAAAGGCCCCCTTCCTGTGAATGTTTGCAGGCTTGCTTATTTCTTTGTTCGTATTTTTCGTTTTCCCTTACCATTTTCGCCTACTTCGTTAGGATATAATTTACACCTTTTTACCGAGCGCTGTTGCAGTTTTGACAACTGTGCCCATTGCATCACCTCCACAGCCATCAGGGCGCAGAGCCAGTCCGTGGCCCCCACATTCCCAAGCCCCTTTGCAGCCAGGCCCAGCCACTGCTGTGGAATCACAGAGAGTCTCCTCGATGGAACCGTTTTACGGGGCTTTTGCTGAGTTGTGTGCCCAGTGACGGAAAGACCGTGCTCACGGCGGTTCTTCTTCACTGTCTGTGAGTCTCCTTCCTCTATAGCATCTGAGCGCTGTTTCCTCGACAGGTGCGGCTGCCTGCCATCAACTCCAAGTTTCCGAGCAAAACGGGGACCCCGCTCGGCCCCAGAGAGCCTGCAGGAAGCAGACTCTCCTTCCCTCCCATGTAAGTGCATGGGCAAAGCGAGCGCTGCCTGGGTCAGGTTCAACTTTGGTCTTTCCGTCCCAGGTACAAAGTGACAATGATGGCAACAAGGCTGGTGGCGGCCCAAGGAAGCTGACTTCCCGGCAACACGTTTCAGTGACATGACGTTGATGTCATGCCCTGTAGCCCCAGCCTCGTCCACTGGGCTCCTTGTTCACTGGTCCTTCCCTCTTGATGTCTGTCGTGGCGCCGTGGGGCCCAGCTGTCCCCGTCCACATCTTCGCCATGTGGGTGCTGAACTTCTCCAACCAGCGGCTCTGCCTCCATGAGCCCGTGTCCTGCCCGAGAGCCCCCTGGGGACCCTGTCCTTACCGAGACTCGCCTTTTAAATCCCAGGCCATCGTCCTTACCCGCGTGTGTTGGCCTGTCCTGACGTTATCTGTCACCACGGCTGGGACCCCGTGTCCGCAGCTGGTGCTGGGTGCTCCGACCGTGCGCGGATGTCAAAGCCCCAGTTAGTGGCAGAAGTAATGTCCTTAGTTATCCGACTGGTTTCTCGAGCAGCTTCCCGTCCCGCAGGAGAGAGCGGTCAGCACGTCAGACCTAACAGCAGCTGCGAGAGCACCATGCTGACGTGTGTCACCTGTCCTACTCAATCCACATCCAAGGTCCCATCACTCCTCAGTGTAGGCGATAAGACCCTCACACATGCAGCCGCTGAGTTCATGGCAGTTAGAAGGCAAAGCTGTGCAGAAACCAGCAGAGAATCTTTTGTTTTCAGAGGTTATTTATTTAAGCAATCTCTACACCCAACGTGGGGCTCGAACTCTAGACCCCGAGACCAGGAGCCGTACCGTATGCTCCCCTGTCTCAATCAGCCAGGTGCTCCATGGCAGATAGTCTTTAATGTCAAGGAAAACCTAAGAAAGTGATAGTTTGTGAAAGAAAAGGTAGAGTCCGGGCCACCGGTTGCGACCAGGGAAGGGGGGTGTGACGGCGTCCCTGTGAAATGCAGCACCATTAGCTTTCTAATTGGGTGTCACGTAGACAGGTGTTAGGAACTGAACTGTGCAAACTCTCACCACGTACGAGGGATGATTGCAAGTAAATTCTCTTTTGTTCATTTTGGAGAGAGAGAAAGAAAGATCAGAAGTGGAGAAAGGGCAGAGAGAGAGTGAGACACAGAATCGGAAGCAGGCTCCAGGCTCTGAGCTGTCAGCACAGAACCCAGCGCGGGGCTTGACCTCATGAACCGCGAGATCATGACCTGAGCCAGAGTTAGACGCTTAACTGACTGAGGCGCCCCCCACAAGTGTATCTTCTTATGCTGAACACGGGTAGAGAGACATTGAGATTGAGAAAGAAGGAGAGAGGGAGAGAGAATGATCCCCGTTACGTTTTAAGAGGCAATGATGCAACCAAGTTGTTAGCAGTATGCGCACTATGGACTGTTCTGGATTATCTAACCTTTGTACTGAAGTTTGGCACTAATCTCTCTCTTTTTGAGGCCTGGGCAGAAGACCAGTTCACCCACAAACTTTTCCAAACTCATCAGCAACGGGTATAAGGATGAGTGGTTGCAGCAGCGAGGGGACTCGGATGGAAGGGCCCCACGGGCATCCGGGGCAGCCCCGCCGGCTCCGTCCCCGTCCCCGGCCGCGCAAGACCCCGAAGGGCTCCAGGATGCAGCGCCGCCCCCAGACCCGGACGTGCCCGAGGGCTCCAAGGACACTCAAGGTGAAGTACACCCGCAGCCCCTGTTTGCTGCCATGTCTCCTCATTGGGACGGCCCCACGGACTTTTTCTTGTCTCATGTTGGATCTCAGGCTGAGTGATCTAAAAACCATGTAAAATCCTTCAGAAGCGTGGAGGTGACACACAGTCAGGAGGATTGTAGGGGTTTTGCTTTTCTCTTTATTCACGTGAATAGCAAGAGTCGTGATCTTTGTGGCTTTGAGAGAGACAGACAGACATAGAGTGAGGGAGGGGCAGAAACAGAGAGAGAGAGAGAATCCCAGGCAGGGCTCCCATACACCGCCAGCACAGAGCCCAACGTGGGGCTCAAACCCACAAACCGTGAGATTGTGACCCTGAGCCGAAATCAAGAGTCAGATGCTTAACCCGCTGAGCTACCGAGGCGTCCTTTACGTTTTCTTTTAATTTCAGAACTTTTGATAATGTCACTTGATATACCAGACAAATAATAATCAAAAACAATCCCCAAACAATATCATGTTTAGTGTCCTTGGATCTGAACATTCCTGGCCTCTATGCTGCGTGCACTTCTGTGTGAGCAGCTGGTGCCCTTCCAAGAAGGTTCATAAGCCCTCAGGTCCGGACACAGAACTCACAACTCAAACTTGAAAGTATTCCATTACTGACATTAAAAAATATTTTTTTTTAACGTTTATTTTTGAGCAAGAGAGAGAGAGACATGGCACGAGTGGGGGAGGGGCAGAGACAGAAGGAGACACAACCCGAAGCAGGCTCCAGGCTCTGAGCTGTCAGCACAGAGCGGGAGGTGCTCCCGAACCCACAGGCTGCAAGATCATGACCTGAGCGAAAGTCAGTCGCTTAACCGACTGAGCCACCCAGGCGCCCCCCAAAGTGCTAATTCTTTTAATACCAGCTGTCTTTGACCGAATTGAACTCACGTCCTTGTTCTTTATTACAGATTCTCCTTCTCCACGTGAGTAGTTCTAGAGAAACTTAGTGCGTCCAAATAGGACACGTGTCCCCCGCGCCAAAATATCGATGGAGAGATAGCTCTGAAGCTGCAAACCACGTGTGTTCTAACCGCAGGGGGGCACCGGCGACACTCACAAATCAGCGTCCTTAGGACACGGTTTGGGGGCGTTAAGAGAAGGACCGCGTCCACCTATTCCTTTACTCTCTCGTGCGCATCCCCTGAGAGAGACCACGTTTGGTTACGCACGGCGACCAGTGGGCTTCGATAATGGGACAGGAATGATCGGGCCCTGGAGGGCGGGGCGGAGGGGGTTCCCGCACCGGCAGCGACATTAGCGCCAGTTTCTAAACTTTCTACCAGGGAACAAATCATTGCACGTGTTATATCATCCCCGTGCTTCAGGTGGCGAGATATGCTTGATCTCAGAGACACAGAAAGGCTGGGGAAGGGGCAGGGCCCTGGTCACCGTGACTGGGCGTCCCGGCCTCCCTGCCCCTGGGTCACTGAGCTCCCCACCAGAATCTCCCTTGCCTTTCTCTTCTGTTTCACGTTTCGTCTCCTGTCCTTCTTGAACAACCCACAACATATAACCCTGAACTTGCCTTTTCTGTCCGACTGGAGAGCCCTCCACCCAAGAGCCTGGCACTTTCTGGACCCCAGCCAGGCTTCTTAGTGACGTTTTTCTCCTTCCTTGAGAAGCAAGATTGCCCTTTCCCCCGCCCCCCCCCCCCCCCCCCCAGGGGGCCTGGGACGTGGTGCAGAGGAAGGAGGCAGGCGTGTCCTCCGGGGCTGGGGACACTCAGGGACCCTTCGGTTCCGCCACCGCCCTCCCTGTGAGTTCTGCTCAGCACATTTATGCCCGGAAGGTGGACAGGGACCCTGCCCTGTGCAGCAGCGCACAGGCTGTAGGCGAAGGGCTCCCGTGTGCGATTTGTGCCCGTGGGTAGGGCCGTGCGTTACATTTTTCTGTGGAGGTCAGGAGTGGTTTTCAAAAGAAAAGTGTGCTTTCTTTATCTTTTTAAGTTTGTTTTTATTTATTTTGAGAGAGAGATAGAGAGCAAGCGGGGGAGGGATAGAGAGAGAGAGGGAGAGAATCCCAAGCAGGCTCTGAGCTGTCAGCACAGAGCCTGGCATGAGGCGCAATCCCAGGAATCGCGAGATCATGACCTGAGCCCAAACCAAGAGTCGAACACTTAACCGACCGCGCCACCCAGGCGCTCCAACACACACTTTCTTTTAGTTAAAATTAATAGATTAGTGGCACCTGGGTGGCTCAGTCGGTTAAGCGTCCGACTTGGGCTCAGGTCATGATCTCACAGTTTGTGGGTTCGAGGCCCACATTGGGCTCTGTGCTGACAGTGGGCCTGTCTTCAGATTATGTGTCTCCCTCTCTCTCTGACCCTCCCCTGTTCACACTGTCTGTCTCTCTTTCAAAAATAAAAAGAAAACATTAAAAAAAATTAAAAAATCAATAGATTAAAATTCTTAACATACAGGGGCACCTGGGGGCTCAGTCAGTTGAGCATCCGACTTCGGCCCAGATCATGATCTCAAGGTTCATGGGGTCAAGCCCCAAGTCAGGCTGTGTGCTGACAGTTCTGAGCCTGCTTGGGATTCTCTCCTTTTCTGTCTGTCCCTCCCCAGCTCTCTCTCTCAAAATAAGTAAACTTAAAAAAAAGAATTTGTCTCAAAAAAAAGTAAAAACTTTCTTAAAAAATTCCCAATTTGTAAAAAATGTCATCTCTATTGCTCTTTCCCCGTCAACCCATCTCTTCCCTTTTTGCATTGCAGGGGCCACCACGTCTCCATCTGCATCCACACCTGGAGAGCTCAAATAAGCCCCCCACCAATATGCATCTACGATCATTTTCTGACGCCTAAAAAAGATGTGACTGCATCACAACCATGCTTCTGAGGCTCCCGCTATATTTTAGGAGCATAGATTCATACGAAATAATTACCTTCTAGCTTATCTGCGTAGATGGTAGAGATGTTGGGTGTGGCTTTCTGCATTTCTCTGGGACGTGAATCACGGGGCCTTGAGGACGCTGCGCCTCGCTGGCCTGGGGTGTGGCCGGGTCTCAGACCCAGCCCCTTCCTCCCCGGCCCATCATCCTCTGACCTTACCTGATCCTGTGGGAGTCTCTGTGACATTTCTGTTGAAATCAACCTGTTTAGACTCTTAACTAGAAGAAACTCACAGTCTTTTCCATTGTTTGATTTTGTAATCCTTGTAGAAATATTTTTTTGTTTCAAAAAACCTTGAGAATATTGTGACATAGTTTACATTAAGAAAAAGATTCTGACTATTATTATGCCTTAAGGTTGTAAACATTTCATGTAAGAGCATCATATCATTTGCTGGTTTAAAATGTTTACGTTTGCGAATGTGTTTTGCATGGACTGAAATTCCTAATATTACACATTTATTGTTTTGTATCATTTAAGTCAAACTGTGTTTCATTCTTATATTTAATTTAGTAGTTTTAGCAATAGTTTTTAAAGAATCAGACTAAAGTTTCTGATTTTACAAATTTTGTGACTGTTGCAGGTAAGTAATTAGCATTGCAACGTACTTTTATATTTTGTACATCTCGTTCAAGACTAAAATAATTTTTGGGGTGCCTGGGTGGCTTAGTCGGTTAAGCGTCCGACTTTCGCTTAGGTCGTGATCTCGCGGTTCGTGGGTTCGAGCCCCGCGTCGGGCTCTGTGCTGACTGCCAGCTCAGAGCCTGGAGCCTGTTTCAGAGTCTGTGACTCCCTCTCTCTCTGACCCTCCCCTGTTCACGCTGTCTCTCTCTATCCTAGAAATAAAATTAAAAAAAAAAAAAAAGACTAAAATAATTTTCTGCTGGAAGATTTTCAGAAAGCCAAATAAGGTCTTGGGTAGTTTAACATCTCTCCCAGAATAAACTTGTCATGCACTTGCTCACTTAAAATTGAAGTTTTCAAGAACTGTAGTGTTTTTAAACTGTGTTTTTTTTTTTACAGTTGAGCACTCTTTGTATATTCTAGATGCAAAAAAAAAAAAAAAAAAAAAAAAACCAACCCAAAAAACCCCAACAACTCGACAAAATAACTATCAAACTAAATCTGCCAGCAATTGAAAGAATTCCATGACATGACCAGGTGGGGCTGACTCCAGAAATGCAAGGTTAATTCAACATAGGAAAATTAATCAATGTAATAAAATACATTAATAGAATGAAGGGGAAAAAACCCCACATGATCATCACAATTAACCCAGAAAAATCAGTTGAAAAAGACACAGTACCCTTTCATGGTAAAAGCAGTCTGCAACTAGGAATTGAAGGGACTCGAGGAGGAGCTGAGCCCAAGGCAGAGCCCCCTTAGAAGAAGCCTTGGAGGCACCTGACTCAAGTTTGCTCCAAGGACAGGCTTTGCCAGGACCCAGCCTGCTCTGTAGTTTTAGGACAATCCCTACCAAACTCCCTGGATGTTTTTTTTGTTTTTTGTTTTTTGTTTTGCAGACAGAGACACGCGTATTCGAAAAGTTATATGGAAATGCAGAGGCCTTAGAATGGCTGGAACAATCTTTTTTTAACATGTTTATTTTTTTGAGGGGGGGTGGAGGGGTGGGAGGGGACGGAGGATCCGAAGCAGCCTCTGTGGTGACACCAGAGAGCCTGATGTGGGGCTTGAACCCAAGAACCATGAGATCATGACCCGAGCCAAAATCAAAATTAAATCAACATTAAAAGAGATTAAAAATAAACAAATAATAAAAATATCACAAACTTAGACGTAGAACACAAAACAATAAAACTTTACAGGAAAGCACAGGAAAATCCTCAGGATCTAGGGCAAGGCAAATCATTTTTAGACTTGATAGCAAAGGAGTGAAAAGAGAAAACTGATAAATTTATCTCATCAAAATTACAAAGAGTTCTTCGCTGTGAAAGCTCATAGGAAGAGGACAAAAAATGAAACAAAAACAAGAAAAACAAGCTACAGAGTGGGAGAAGATATTTGCAATGTTTGCAGATGATCTATCCAACAAAGAACTTGCATCTAGAATATACAAAGAGTGCTCAAATCTCAACAAGAATAACCAAACAACTCCCCCCCCCCAAATAATCCATTTAAAAAATGAGGGAAAGACACAAATACTTCCCCAAAGAGGGTATACAGATGCCATAAGCACATCAAAACGTGCTCGACATCATTAGCCACCAGGAAAGTGCCAAGTGAAACCACCATGAGAGACCGGTGCACAACGACCAGAATGGCTAAAATAAAAAAATAATTACAACACCAAATACTGGTAAGGATTTGGAGAAAGTGGATTTCACATCCATTGCTCACAAAATGCAAAATATTGCAGCCACCGCAGGAAACAATTTGGCAGCTTCTTGTACGACTAAATGTGTAATTACCATTCAACCTAGCAGTTGCACTGTTGGTATTTATCCTAGGGAAATGAAAACATATGTTCGCAAAAAACCTGTACGTGAAATTTCATAGCAGCTTTATTCTTCATAGCCCTCACTGGAAACAGCCTGGCTGTCTTTCAGGGAGCAAAAACGGCCAGGTTTTTTGGTTTTTGGTTGGTTGGTTGGTTGGTTTTTAACTAGCAAAATGGGTTTATTTAGGAATAGAGAAATGCACTCTGAGACAACCAAGCTTCTGGCAAAACCAGAGGTGTATCTGTAAAACAGAGAGGACCGCTCTCACAGGGGCAAGCGGAATGTGGGAAGGCTGTTTTCACTAGAAGTGCCTTGGAATAAACTGGGATCTCAAAATACAGTGGCTTCTTATTGGCTGAGCTGGGCCTGGCTCTCACTGGCTGGGAGATGCCTGCTTCTCATTGGCTGGACTGTTGGGAATGGCGGGGCGGGGGGATTCCTTCTTCCCACTGGGATAGTAAAGTGGTAGCTAAAGTAGTATCTGGGTGCAAGGTGCCTCTCTTCCCTGCGGATCTGGGATTGGTAACAAGTGGTAGGGTGTGAGAGCGCCCCCTGCTGGCCTCTGGCTCTATTCTGAGTGAAGTTTCCTTTTACTAAATCCCCCAGAACCAACTGATACGTACACTGTGAACACATCTCCAGGGAATTCTGAATAGAAAAGGTCGATTCAGGGGCACCTCGGTGGCTCATTCGGTTGAGCATCAGACTTTGGCTCAGATCATGATCTCGTGGTCCGTGGGTTCAATCCCTGCGTCGGGCTCTGTGCGGACATCTCAGAGCCTGGAGCCTGCTTCTGATTTTGTGTCTCCCTCTCTCTCTGCCCCTCCCCTGCTCACACACCCACACTCTCTCTCTCTCAAAAATAAACATAAAAAAAAAAAAGCCAGTTCAGATATATTAGATAGTTTCTATGTATATACCTCTTTTTTTTTTTTTTTTTAATGACACATTTTAGAGGCACCTGGGCGGCTCAGTCGGCATAAACATCTGAGTCTTCTGCTCACGTCATGATCTCAGGGGTTCATGGGATCAAGCCCTGTGGCAGGCTCCCCACTCACAGGGTGGAGGCTGCTTGGGATTCTCTCCTCTCTCTCTGCCTCTTCCCCACTTGTGCTCTCTCCCTGTCTCTAAGTAAACATTAGAACAATAGACAAAATGACACATTTAGGGACACCTGGCTGGCTCAGTTGAAGGAACATGTGACTCTTGATCTTGGGGTCATGAGTTCAAGCCCTTTGAAGTAGCTTGGAGACTACGTAATTAATAAAAAGGAAAGAAATCAAGATGAGACATTTTAGAAGTTGAGGGCAGATTGGCAGGTACTGGGGCTTAGCTGTTGAGGGGACTGGGGTGGGGGTGGGGATAGGGCATCACAGGGGTTCTTTTGGTAACTGACGGTTCAGTATCTCGAAGGTGGTGATGTCACACATGTGACAAAGTTGTATAGAAGTGACTGCAACACGAATACGAGTGTTAGAAAAAGTGTGGCGACATAAAGGGCATGGGTGGGTTGTGTTGCTGTCAAACCCTGGATGCAATCCCTGCTGCGTTCCGTACAATGACCCCGCGGGGGAAACAGAGTACAGGCTGCAAGACGCCCTGCCTTTCAATCTTCAGTTCCTTTCAATGTTCTCTTATTCAGTTGAGCTGCTGTAACAAAAATGCCACAGACGAGGTGGCTTATCCACAACCGAATATATCCGGGGCGCCGTTCCCGTCTGATAGACCGAGCTCTGACGGGCTCGGGTAACTTGCAGGAAGTCCAGAGCTGGCTTGCAGCACAGCTCCCAACGCCGGTGGGAGTTCACACGAGGGGCAGCCACTGTGGGCTGAAGGTGTGCTGAGCGCCAGTTAAGAAACTAACTCCCGCGATTCCTGGATGGAAGGGGGGAAGAATTGCCCTGAGAGGTAACCATTTTAGAACAAGAGCAGTCAGGTAGGAGGGTGTGTGGAAAAGTGAGTGCGGACAGAGCAGTGTGGCAGCAAGGGGGCGGGCTGGCATTAGGGGCACGTGTTTGACCCCTGCGTTTGGGGTCCAGGCTGGACAATTCCCGGAGGCCCTGGCTTTCCTGCTGAGATGGCCCCCTTAGGAGACACACAGCCCTTATACAGGTAAAGACAAAGAGGCCAAGGTCACATCAGCTGGTGGCATCCGGCTGGTGTCTGGGGCCACCTGCAAATGTTCTGGGGGACACACTGCATGACACAGAGGCACCTGCCTCCCCCATGCCAGAGCGGAGATGCTTTTCTTCTCCATTCTTCCCCATCGACAATCAAAACACTGGCTGTGACCCACGACACTGTTCCATGGTCTGCCATGGGGCCTGCCCGCCATCTGAAGAACGCCGTTCTCCTTCTGTGAGGTCTCTACCCTCTATCTGAGCGATCGAGGATGCTTCAGAGCCACTGAGATGGGGAGGAAGGGTGGCTGGCACTCACCCTTGGAAGTGGTACCAAGCAGCAAAAGCAGCCTCTGTGAATAGCTCTGCGACTCTCTCAGCTCCTTTCCAGGGACTCTGAATAGCGGGGAACGACTCCTTGGCCAGCCCGCCAGGAGTGGGTGTCGTCGTCGTCAGTGGCCTTTCCGGCGTGACTACTTCAGTGTGAGGCTCACTTCTGTACAGAAGGGCAAGGCCCTCGTTTCAGGTGTGGTGTAGCAATGGTCACAATTTCATTTCCAGCCTGTCACATTCACGAGGCATTACCTTGACACATACGCCTTGGGTCTTTGAGTTTCCAGTTCAGGTGCGGCGTCTTGGAAGAGAAAAATAAAGCCCTTCATCTGCTACAGGCCATCGGGCCAGGCTGTGCACTCTCCAGAGAGCCTCACGCACCGAGCTCCCGGGTGCTGGATGCCGGTGCAGGTACCTGCAGGGCAGTGCGGGTCAGCCCACAGTCTTGGCCGCCGCCGGGCCCTGCAGTCTAGGCTGCTGACTGACTGAATGAGTCATTTCCTTAATTGCGCCAGCGTCTCCTGGTTTTCCCCAGTTACTAGCGAGCTCCGGGAACCCAGAGTCTCAGAAAAGAAATGCCCCAGAGCAGGGATTGGAGGGATCAAGGGACCACAGCGGACGTGGCCCAGACCCTGTTTCCTGGCACCACACAACACCCCCCCCCCCACCCCGAACCACACCCTGGGCTGGTTCCGGTGGCTCTGGAGCTGGGGGTGGGGCAACTCCTACGGACCTGGGCTCCTCCACCAAGGTCAGGACCACGGGCCGCACCCCGCATAGGCCGCACGGAAGAAGGAAGGTTTCCTCTCCACCTGGCAACAGCCTGCAGCGGCTGCAGCCAATGAGAGGCCCCCTCGCCATCACCTGCAGCCAATGAGAGGCCACCTCCGCCTCCATCACCTGCAGCCAACGAGAGACCACCTCCGTCCCATTTCCCTCCAACTAGCAGCCGCTGCCACTCCCGCGTCCCCTGGCACAGGGCGCCCAGCTCCCCGGGTTTGCCCTCGGCGGGCATAGTTTGCTGGCCCCAGTGGCAACTGGGCTGCCCGGCCCGAACGAACCCGTTTGCCGCTGGATAACCTCTGCTGTTTACTTTCCAGGACCGACGAGAGGTCTCCTTCTCGGGGAGCGGCTTAATGAGTAACAGGGACGTCCCGGTGACTCACCGCCTCGCCCGCCATAGGAGGAAGCAGCTCTGGGCGGAGCTGGGGACCGCCTTCCCGGAACGGGGCGGGGCGGGGGCACGGCGGGGCGCGCCAGCTTAGGACCCACGCGGACGCTGCGGGTCCCTGCGCGGGTGAGTGCTCCGCGCCGGGTCCGGGGATGTGCTTCCCGGAGCCAGGCTTTCCTGTCTCCGGCCGTGGGCCCGGGGGACGTGCGGGGGGCGGGGGGCGCGCACGCGAGTACTGGGAGAGGAGGGGGCGCACGGGAAGGTGCTCTGCGAACGCGGCGCAAGGGGGGTGAGCAGCGCGCGCGCGGAGAGGACGAGGGGTGCGGGGAGCAGGTGCGGGGAGAGGAGTGTTTGGTGAGCGGCGCGGGGAGGGCGCCCCGGGGCGCAGCGCGCGCGGGGCGGATGAGTAGGGCGCTGGGTTGGGGAGGAACAGGTTTCGGGGAGCGGAGTACGGTGAGAGTACC